GCCAAAAAGCTTAATTTTAGTCTCATCTGACCAGAGTACCTTCTTCCATATGTTTGGGGAGTCTCCCACATGGCTTTTGGCGAACACCAAACGTGTTTGCTTACTTCTTTCTTTGAGCAATGGCTTTTTTTTGGCCACTCTTCCATAAAGCCCAACTCTGTGGAGTGTACGGCTTAAAGTGGTCCTATGGACATATACGCCAATCTCCGCTGTGGAGCTTTGCAGCTCCTTCAGGGTTATCTTTGGTCTCTTTGTTGCCTCTGATTAATGCCCTCCTTGCCTGGTCTGTGAGTTTTGGTGGGCAGCCCTCTCTTGGCAGGTTTGTTGTGGTGCCATATTCTTTCCATTTTTTAAATAATGGAGTTAATAGTGCTCCGTGGGATGTTCAAAGTTTTGGATATTTTTTTATAACCCAATCCTGATCTGTACTTCTCCACAACTTTATCCCTGACCTGTTTGGTGAGCTCCTTGGTCTTCATGGTGCCGCTTGCTTGGTGGTGCCCCTTGCTTAGTTGTGTTGCAGACTCTGGGGCTTTTCAGAACAGGTGTGTATATATACTGAGATCATGTGACACTTCGATTGCACACAGGTGGACTTTATTTAACTAATCATGTGACTTCTGAAGGTAATTGGTTGCACCAGATCTTATTTAGGGGCTTCATAGCAAAGGGGGTGAATACATATGCACGCACCACTTTTCCGTTATTAATTTTGTAGAATTTTTTTTAACACGTTTTTTTTTTTCATTCCACTTCACCAATTTGGACTATTTTGTGTATGTTCATTACATGAAATCCAAATAAAAATCCATTTAAATTACAGGTTGTAATGCAACAAAATAGGAAAAACGCCAAGGGGGATGAATACTTTTGCAAGGCACTTGCAAACCAGATGACCAAGGATAAGTGCATGAATTGGACCATTTTCCTGTCCTGCGAAGCATTCAAAATGTAATGAGTCCTTTTGTATGTATGGAGTAAAACGTACATTATTTTCATAAGAAATGTAGTGAAGTAAAAGTAAAAGTTGTCTAAAATATAAATAGTGAAATACAGATCCCCCCCCCCCCCCCCAAAAAAAAACAACTACTTATCTAGTAATTTAAAGTATTTTTATTTAGGTACTTTACACCACGGTGTGTAGTCCCAGTAGTTAGCTACACCACTACATGACAAAAAAGTAATTAACTACTGAACTACCAAGATTTTAATTTAGTTCAACTACCACCAAGCTACTGCAAAATGTAATTATATTACTAGTTGAAAAACATGTACAGTGGGGAAATTTTTTATTTAGTCAGCCACCAATTGTGCAAGTTCTCCCACGTAAAAATTTTCATCATAGGTACACGTCAACTATGACAGACAAAATGAGAAAAAAAAATCTAGAAAATCACATTGTAGGATTTTTAATGAATTTCTTTGCAAATTATGGTGGAAAATAAGTATTTGGTCAATAACAAAAGTTTCTCAATACTTTGTTATATACCCTTTGTTGGCAATGACACAGGTCAAACGTTTTCTGTAAGTCTTCACAAGGTTTTCACACACTGTTGCTGGTATTTTGGCCCATTCCTCCATGCAGATCTCCTCTAGAGCAGTGATGTTTTGGGGCTGTCGCTGGGCAACACAGACTTTCAACTCACTCCAAATATTTTCTATGGGGTTGAGATCTGGAGACTGGCTAGGGTACTCCAGGACCTTGAAATGCTTCTTACGAAGCCACTCCTTCGTTGCCCGGGCGGTGTGTTTGGGATCATTGTCATGCTGAAAGACCCAGCCACGTTTCATCTTCAATGCCCTTGCTGATGGAAGGAGGTTTTCACTCAAAATCTCACGATACATGGCCCCATTCATTCTTTCCTTTACACGGATCAGTCGTCCTGGTCCCTTTGCAGAAAAACAGCCCCAAAGCATGATGATTCCACCCCCATGCTTCACAGTAGGTACGGTGTTCTTTGGACAACTCCGCATTCTTTGTCCTCCAAACACGACGAGTTGAGTTTTTACCAAAAAGTTATATTTTGGTTTCATCTGACCATATGACATTCTCCCAATCCTCTTCTGGATCATCCAAATGCACTCTAGCAAACTTCAGACGGGCCTGGACATGTACTGGCTTAAGCAGGGGGACACGTCTGGCACTGCAGGATTTGAGTCCCTGGCGGCGTAGTGTGTTACTGATGGTAGGCTTTGTTACTTTGGTCCCAGCTCTCTGCAGGTCATTCACTAGGTCCCACCGTGTGGTTCTGGGATTTTTGCTCACCGTTCTTGTGATCATTTTGACCCCACGGGGTGAGATCTTGCGTGGAGCCCCAGATCGAGGGAGATTATCAGTGGTCTTGTATGTCTTCCATTTCCTAATAATTGCTCCCACAGTTGATTTCTTCAAACCAAGCTGCTTACCTATTGCAGATTCAGTCTTCCCAGCCTGGTGCAGGTCTACAATTTAGTTTCTGGTGTCCTTTGACAGCTCTTTGGTCTTGGCCATAGTGGAGTTTGGAGTATGACTGTTTGAGGTTGTGGACAGGTGTCTTTTATACTGATAACAAGTTCAAACAGGTGCCATTAATACAGGTAACGAGTGGAGGACAGAGGAGCCTCTTAAAGAAGTTACAGGTCTGTGAGAGCCAGAAATCTTGCTTGTTTGTAGGTGACTAAATACTTATTTTCCACCATAATTTGCAAATAAATTCATTAAAAATCCTACAATGTGATTTTCTGGATTTATTTTCTTCTGAATTTGTCTGTCATAGTTGACGTGTACCTATGATGAAAATTACAGGCCTCTCTCATATTTTTAAGTAGGAGAACTTGCACAATTGGTGGATGACTAATACTTTTTTTCCCCACTGTAGTTCACTACTCTTCAACACTTTTCCCTTCTCAACACACTAACACAATAAATGTAATTCTACATTTAAAAAAGGGGGGGGTGGGGGAACTCATGTGAAATTCTATTCCTTGACACAATCTGCGACAATTACGTGGAGCTAGGCACTCTACATAGAGAGATATTTGACCAGTCAGTCAACTACACGTGATGTAGTTGCTTTGATTATCAGAACGTCTCATTGGACTTCTGTTAACAACACTTACATGAACAAGTGTTGGATCACATCCAACTAAGTTACGAACCGGATATAATCATGAATTTGAGCAGGATATAATCACGGCCACCTGGTGAGGTTAGCATAGGGCTAAATGTGCCAGGTTATGTAATGAATATAGCGAACACGTCGCCTTTGATCACGTGCAACTACGTCAACGATTTTAATTGGCTGAAAAATAGAAAATGTGGTTTTCTGTGTGATGCAACCACACAAAGATTTTAAATTTGTATTTGATCAATATCTGAATTTAAAACGTGTGTCTGTGTGTGTTATTGGTCTTCAAGCATAATTATCCCTTTATATGTACCCCTTCTAGTAAAGTATTAACAGATTCTTTGTCAGAAACAGTAATTTGACTGAATCAAGGACATCATGTGAATTCAATGATTATGTACAGTGCCTTCTGATTTTTTGTTGTTACAGCCTGAATTTAAAATTAAATTGAGGTTTTGTGTCACTGGCCTACACACAATACCCCATAATGTCAAATTAATTAAAAATGAAAAGCTGAAATATCTTGAGTCAATAAGTATTCAACCCCTTTGTTATGGCAAGCCTAAATAAGTTCAGGAGTAATAATTTGCTTAACAAGTCACATAATAAGTTGCATGGACTCACTCTGTGTGCAATAATAGTGTTTAACATACTTTTTGAATGACTACCTCGTCTTTTTACCCCACACATACAATTATATGTAAGATCCCTCAATCAAGCAGTGAATTTCAAACACAGATTCAACCACAAAGACCAGGAAGTTTTTCCAATGCCTCGCACAGAAGGGCACCTATTGGTAGATGGGTAAAAATTAAAATAGCAGACATTGAATATCCCTTTGAGCATAGTGAAGTTATTAATTACACTTTGGATGGTGTATCAATACACCCAGTCACTAGAAAGATTCAGGCATCCTTCCTAACTCAGTTGCCGGAGAGGAAGGAAACCGCTCATGGATTTCACTGTGAGGCCGATGGTGACTTTAAAACAGTTACAGAGTTTAATGGCTGTAATCGGAGAAAACTGTGGATGGATCAACAACATTGTAGTTACTCCACAATACTAACCTAAATGACAGAGTGAAAAGAAGAAAGCCTGTACAGAATAACAAATATTCCAAAATATGCATCCTGTTTGCAATAAGGCACTAAAGTAAAACTGCAAAAAATGTGGCAAAGCTATTAACTTTACAGTATGTCCTGAATACAAAATGTTATGTTTGGGGCAAATCCAACACAACACATCACTGAGTACCACTCTTCATATTTTCAAGCATGGTGGTGGCTGCATCATGTTATGGGTATGCATGTCATCTAAAGGTGATTCTAACATGTATTGACTCAGGGGTGTGAATACCTATGTAAATTAGATATATTGCAAAACATTTTAAAAACATGTTTTCACTTTGTTATTATGGGGTATTGTGTGTACTTTAGATGGGTGAGAAAAAAAATGAATGTAATCCATTTTGAATTCAGGCTGTAACACAACAAAATGTGGAATAAGTCAAGGGGTATGAATACTTTCTGAATGCACTGTATATAAACTGTTTCTCTCCTCTGTCAGCAGGGTAAACACTGCATACTTGACGTGTCGGGGAATGCCATTAAACGACTACAAGTAGCACAACTCTATCCCATTGCCATCTTTATAAAGCCTAGATCCATCGATTCATTAATGTGAGTTCTCATCTCCCAACTCATGAAAATATTATTACATAGCAAATGTGTTTATAATGGATATGCAATTCAGTAGAAGGCGCTGACATTAAGTGAGTGCAGAATGTATTTTATGTGGTCACCAAAGTGGCAGGGGGCAAATCAGGCAATTAAGTGGAAATGGGGGTTGAATTGACAAATACAACATTAACTTAATGAACGTAATTCATAGTCTATGCATGTGGAAATGTAGTTGGAGACAGTAGAATTTATGGCGCCGGTTTCCCAGACAGATTAAGGGCTTTAAATTTCAAGGTCATTTACGACTTAGCCGACATATACAGCGTTTACAATGAATGCATTCTCCGCTAATGCAGGAACATTGCCTTTAAATTTCTATCGCCCTGTAGCGCAGCTCTTCAGCGCTACGGATTGAATCCAGCCCTAAACCTATTCCTAGACTAAAAAGCACTTTCAATGGAGATTCTCCATTGAGCTTGCTCGTTAGTCCAGGACTAGGCTTAATCTGTGTCTGGGAAACCGCCCCATGGAATCTGAGGCCTCACAACAAACATCTGTTCCCAGGGAGATGAATAAGAGGCTAACAGAAGAGCAGGCCAGGAAGACATTTGACCGGGCCATGAAGCTGGAGCAGGAGTTTGGCGAGTTTTTCACAGGTACAGTATCCATGAGTTAAAGATGCACAATGTTGCTCTTTTTAGACAAAAGAGATGTGAAAGTTGTAGTCTGTCAATTTCAGTGCAACCCGTGTTGGTGTATACAGTTCTGGGGCGTCATTTCTCAACCTTCTATAGATTTCACATAATTTTGGCGCACATTGAGATCCTACAATTAGAGGGAACATTGCATACGCCACAAATTGGTGTTCATCTAAATGATATGATAAAGCAGATCCATACTGTAATTCTGCGCATGTGAATGAGCATTACAACCCTGCCTGGATAATGCCCTTTATTCAACTTTTATGGTGACAAATAATGCCCTCATTTGCTGTATGATAAGGAACAATTGGAACAAAGCCGCTGCAGTAAAAAAAAAAAAAAAACAGCAATAGTAAATTTGATAAATTGTTTTAGAGAATTGTTTTAAGTGTTTCAACCTAACCTGTGGTAGTAAATGTCACCACAATATATTCTATGGGTGAAATGTATTGTTCTCACTAACAGTATGTACATGACTAAAAATAAATTCCTTCTTGGTGGACAGTGAGCAATTTTATTCTATTAGAAAATAATTGCTAAATGGCTAGATCTGTCTGTACTAAATGTCTCCCCTTGTTTTGCAGCCCTTGTTCAAGGAGACACCTTAGAAGAAATTTATAACCACTGCAAAATGGTGATAGAGGAGCATTCTGGACCCTACATCTGGATCCCATCAAAGGAGAAATTATGAGAATACACCAATTTGGCAGGGAGATTGGACTGCTAGAAACAAAATACTTTGTAACATATGATCAATTGTAATGGCAATTTATATTGTTCATAATTATAGCCAATTAATGATTTTTTGTTATTGTTTCTTTTTTTCACTTTCAATATGAATGTTCCTGAATGTACACCACAAAGTTTAAGAAACATTTTTGGCCGAACAAATATTACTGTTTGTATATTTAATGATTTTTATTTTTAAGAAAATGCAAAGGAAATTAAATAAACATGGGCATGTGTTCACCTCGACACTGCGTGGAATTTCAAATGAATTTTCAAAGATGGCAGATACACAAGTCAACAAAGGAGGGGAAGGAAATAATATCAGCTTCTTTTGCTTTTCTCCACCCAACAGCTAGCACTTTGTGTCCTCTGACGCTCACCTCACATCAGTAGTTGACATTTTGTGTGACTTTGGCATCTATGCACTCACTATGCACTCCCTTGGACACAGTTCATCATACTCCTTGTTACATTGTTATTTTGTATTCATTTTATTATGTTGTGAATCCAGATTTGTTGGAAATGTTTAATTTGAATGAGAATTGTCCTCAACTGGATTGTTTATTATGCGTATTCTTTCATAAAAAAATACAATTATTGTTAAGATGCTTTGAGAGGGTACAACAGCACATAAAATATTTATTATAAAGATGTATAACTTTGATTAAAAATGTTATTTGAAAAAGTATCTTGTTTGACAGTGCGCTGTAGATTTAGTGATGATGGGGTTATTATTTAAGAGTAAATGGAAAAGTACAGGTCAAGAACTTAGGAATATAAGGTTCTATCTGCATCAAAATTGAGTTATTGACATAGTTCTGTTCAATGTTCTCTACCTATATACAGTCGTGGTCAAAAGTTTTGAGAATGACACAAATATTAATTTTCAAAAAGTCTGCTGCCTCAGTTTTTATGTCAATTTGCATATACTCCAGAATGTTATGAAGAGCCCTGCCACAAAAGGACCAGCTGACATCATGTCAGTGATTCTCTCATTAACACAGGTGAGAGTGTTGACGAGGACAAGGCTGGAGATCACTCTGTCATGCTGATTGAGTTAGAATAACAGACTGGATGCTTTAAAAGGAGGGTGGTGCTTGAAATCATTGTTCCTCCTCTGTTAACCATGGTTACCTGCAAGGAAACACGTGCCGTCATAATTGCTTTGCACAAAAAGGGTTTCACAGGCAAGGATATTGCTGCTACTAAGATTGCACCTAAATCAACAATTTATCGGATCATCAAGAACTTCAAGGAGAGAGGTACAATTGTTGTGAAGAAGGCGTCAGGGCGCCCAAGAAAGTCCAGCAAGCGCCAGGACCGTCTCCTAAAGTTGATTCAGCTGCGGGATCGGGGCACCACCAGTGCAGAGCTTGCTCAGGAATGGCAGCAGGCAGGTGTGAGTGCATCTGCACGCACAGTGAGGCGAATACTTTTGGAGGATGGCCTGGTGTCAAGAAGGGCAGCGAGGAAGCCACTTCTCTCCAGGAAAAACATCAGAGACAGACTGATATTCTGCAAAAGGTACAGGGATTGGACTGCTGAGGACGGGAAAGTAATTTTCTCTGATGAATCCCCTTTCCGATTGTTTGGGGCATCCGAAAAAAAGCTTGTCCGGAGAAGACAAGGTGAGCGCTACGATCAGTCCTGTGTCATGCCAACAGTAAAGCATCCTAAGACCATTCATGTGTGGGGTTGCTTCTCAGCCAAGGGAGTGGGCTCACTCACAATTTTGCCTAAGAACACAGCCATGAATAAAGAATGGTACCAACACATCCTGGTGGTCCTCTGTAGCTCAGCTGGTAGAGCACGGCGCTTGTAACGCTAAGGTAGTGGGTTCGATCCCCGGGACCACCCATATACAAAAATAATAATAATTATGCACGCATGACTGTATGTCGCTTTGGATAAAAGCGTCTGCTAAATGGCATATTATTATTATTATCCTCCGAGAGCAACTTCTCCCAACCATCCAATAACAGTTTGGTGATGAACAATGCCTTTTCCATTGGGTCCATGGCCAGGAAACTCCCCAGACCTTAATCCCATTGAGAACTTGTAGTCAATCCTCAAGAGGCGGGTGGACAAACAAACAAACAAAACAAAAACCCACAAATTCTGACAAACTCCAAGCATTGATTATGCAAGAATGGGCTGCCATCAGTCAGGATGTGGCCCAGAAGTTAATTGACAGCATGCCAGGGCAGATTTCAGAGGTCTTGAAAATATTGACTCTTTGCATAAACTTAATGTAATTGTCAATAAAAGCCTTTGACACTTATGGAATGCTTGTAATTATACTTCAGTATACCATAGTAACATCTGACAAAAATATCTAAAAATACTGAAGCAGCAAACTTTGTGAAGACCAATACTTCACAAGTACGACTGTAGTACTCTTAATACCCCAATTCATGTTAAATTCAAAAGAATACTATATATAAATTGCTGACACCATTCAAACCAATGAGGGTTCAGAACAATAAAGCCAATTATATCAGAATCATGTTTTTGCAGATAGGACCTTATAGTGCCAAGCTCTCGAGGTCCTTTGAGGACTAATAGTAATGCACTGTGGTGAGCCCACAAGTCTAAGGCCATATTCACAAAGCATCCTAATGCGAAGAATTGCTCCTAAGGGTGCGTTTACACATGCAGTCCAATTCTGATCTTTTTTCCACTAATTAGTCTTTTGACCAATCACATCAGCTCTTTTCACGGCAGATCTTTTTCAGAGCTGATGTGATTGGTCAAAAGACCAATAAGTGAAAGATTATCAGAATTGGGCTGCCTGTGTAAATGCCTACGTGGCATAGTTCAGAAATATTCTCAGGATTACGAGGAATACATTTCCCCCTAAATTACACTGTTTTAAAGCATATTTATTTTCTCCACCAACTTTCAGGTTTCTGATAATGAGTTTGAGACTTTATTCATTAGTTTCACAAGACCTATCACAAGTTCAATGTTCCACAATGTTGCTTACATTATTTCAGATGTTTTTATACCATTATAATTTGTGGAATATTAAGGTATCACATTGAAATAAACATCACTTGTGAAGATACTGATAGTAAAACATTTAATTTCAACTGTTGCTGAGTGCGATGCTGGACTTGGATAGTGTGAGTACAGGCGCGCAAAGAAAAAGGAGATTGTCTGCAAAACATTAGAATGTCATAATATCAGATGAGGATGTGCACAGCAATGGAAATAATCAGACCCATCCTCAAATCTGAGTTTTCCCACTCAAAGTGCACAGCTGGCTCAATGGCGCGGACTGGGGTGACTTTGGAATACGCGGTGGAAATACGCACACACTTTTAGTGCAGAACCAGATGATATGGTGCGCAGTGAAATGAGAATATGCCCCTTACGGCCCTGCTAAACAATAGCCATCGGACGTCCGGCATTGCCATCAGCCGTCAGCCATTGAGAAAATGCTTCCTTTAAAATCAGTGAAAGCTGCTTCACTGCCCGTGTTGAGCTTGTGTAGCGTCATGTCCAATGGCCAGTGTCCAAGCTAAGGTTCAATTCTCGATGGCTGACGCGCGCATTAATTATATCTTGTGAATTGAAATAATGAGCAATAAAGTTTATTTTGTTTGCATATGGCCTTGACTATACAACACTGGTTATTTGACTAAGATTTATGAAAGAGTGGCGCCGGAGGGAATGGCGGACATTTTACGGGCTCCTGACCAATTTTGCTATTTTGTGTATTTTTTTGCATTGATCGTAACTGTTTTTGTACATAATGTTTCCACAATCGTTTCCTATGACCGAAAAGAGCTTCTGGACATCAGAACAGCTATCAATAACCTTGATTTGGACGAGGATTTATACTTCAATGAGTCGGACCAGGCCCAAATCCCCAACACTCGAAGAAGAAGGAGACAGTGCTATAAAGGCCGGAGTGTGGGATACCTGACCAGACTACGTCGGAGAGTGGATAAATCGCCTCTACCCTCCGTTCTATTGGCGAACGTGCAATCACTGGAGAATAAACTGGATGAGCACCGTTCGAGACTATCCTATCAACGAGATCTGAAGAACTGTAATATCCTATGTTTCTCGGAGTTGAGGCTGAACAAGGACATGGTAAATATAAATCTAGCTGTTTTTTCTATACATAACAGAACGGCTGCATCAGGAAAGCTCAGAGGAGGTTGTGTGTGTCTCTTTGTTAACAACAACTGGTGTGCAATCTCTAATATTAAGGAAGTCTTGAAGTTCTGCTCGCCTGAGTTAGAATACCTCATGATAAGCTGTAGACCAAATATTTACCAAGAGAGTTTTCATCTATATTTATTCCTCTCTATTTACCACCACAAACCGATGCTGGCACTAAGACCACACTCAGCGAGCTGCATAGGGCAATAAGCAAACAAGAAAATGCTCACCCAGAGGCGGTGCTCCTTGTGGCCGGTGACTTTAATGCAGGAAAACTTAAACCCGTTTTACCTAATTTTTACTATTATGTCACCTGTTCAACTAGAGGCGAAAAAACTCTAGATCACATTTACTCCACACACAGAGACACATACAAAGCTCTCCCTCACCCTCTATTTGGCAAATCTAACCATAACTCTAGCCTCCTGATTCCTGCTTACAAGCAAAAACTCAAACAGAAAGTACCAGTGACACGCTCAATACAGGACTGTTTTGGTAGCACAGACTGGAATATGTTCCAGGATTCATCTGATTGCATTGAGGAGTTTACCACATCAGTCTCCTGCTTCATTAGTAAGTGCATCGCTGACGTAGTCCCCACAGTGACCGTACGTACATATCCCAACCAGAAGCCATTGATTACAGGCAACATCCACACTGAGCTAAAGGCTAGAGCTGCCGCTTTCAAGGAGTGGGACACTAATCCAGACGCTTATAAGAAATCCCGCTATGCCCTCAGACGAACCATCAAACAGGCAAAGAGTCAATACAGGACCAAGATCGAATCCGGACGCTACACCAGCTCTGACGATTGTCGGATGTGGCAGGGCTTGCCAACTATCATGGATTACAAAAGGAAACCCAGCCACGAGCTATGTGCGCTTTGAGGCAAGCAACACTGAACTATGCATGAGAGCACCAGCTGTTCCAGACGACTGTGTGATCACGCTCTCCATAGCCAAAGTGATTAAGACCTTTAAACAGGTTAACATTCACAAGACCTCAGGGCCAGATGGATTATCAGGACGCATACTCAGAGCATGCACTGGCAAGTCTTCACTGACATTTTCAACCTCTCCCTGACCCAGTCTGTAATACCTACAGTACATTTGGAATGTATTGAGACCCCTTGACCTTTTCCACATTTTGTTACATTACAGCCTTATTAAAAAAAAAAAAAAATGTTTCACCACCCCTCATCAATCTACACACAATACCCTATAATGACAAAGCAAAAACTGGTTTTTAGAAAATGTTGCAAATGTATTAGAAATAAAAAACTGAAATCACATTTAAATAAGTATTCAGACCCTTTACTCAGTACTTTGTTGAAGCACCTTTGGCAGCAATTAGAGGCTCAAGTCCTCTTGGGTATGACGCTACAATCTTGGCACACCTGTATTTGGGGAGTTTCTCCCATTCTTCTCTGCAGATCCTCTCAAGCTTTGTCAGGTTGGATGGGGAGCGTCGCTGCACAACTATTTTCAGGTCTCTCCAGATGTGTTCGATGGGGTTCAAGTCCGGGCTCTGGCTGGGCCACTCAAAAACATTCAGAGACTTGTCACGAAGTCACTCCTGCGTTGTCTTGGCTGTGTGCTTAGGGTCGTTGTCCTGTTGGAAGGTGAACCTTCGCCCCAGTCTGAGGTCCTGAGCACTCTGGAGCAAGTTTTCATCAAGGATCTCTCTGTACTTTGTTCTGTTCATCATTCCCTCGATCCCGACTAGTCTCCCATTCCCTGCCGCTGAAAAACATCCCCACAGCATGATGCTGCCACTGCCATGCTTCACCGTAGGGATGGTACCAGGTTTCCTCCAGATGTGACTCTTGGCATTCAGGCCAAATCTTTGTTTCATCAGACCAGATAATTTTTTTCTCATGGTCTGAGAGTCCTTTAGGTGCCTTTTACTGAGGAGTGGCTTCTGTGTGGCACTCTACAATGAAGGCCTGATTGGTGGAGTGCTGCAGATGGTTGTCATTCTGGAAGGTTCTGCAATCTCCATAGAGGAACTCTGGAGCTCTGTCAGAGACCATTGAGTTCTTGGTCACTTCCCTGACCAAGGCCCTTCTCCCCCGATTGCTCAGTGCGGCCAGCTCTAGGAAGATTCTTGGTGGTTCCAAACTTCTTCATTTTAAGAATGATGGAGGCCATTGTGTTGTTGGGGACCTTCAATGCTGCAGACATTTTTGGTACCCTTCCCCAGATATGTGCTTCGACACAATCCTGTCTCGGAGCTCTATGGACAATTCCTTCGACCTCATGGCTTGGTTTTTGCTATGACATGCATTGTCAACTGTGGGACCTTATACAGACAGGCGTGTGCCTTTCCATATCATGTACAATCAATTTAGTTTACCACAGGTGGACTCAAATCAAGTTGTAGAAACATTTCAAGGATGATCAATGGAAACAGGACGCACCTGAGCTCAATTTCAAGTCTCATAGCAAAGGGTCTGAATACTTATGTAAATGAGGTATCTGTTTTTTATTTGTAATACATTTGCAAACATTTTTAAAAACCTGTTTTCACTTTGTTATTATGGGGTATTGTGTGTAGATTGATGAGAAACATAAAATTTTTTAAATATATTTAGAGTAAGGCTGTAACGTAACAAAATGTGGAACAAGAGAAGGGATCTGAATACTTTCCGAATGCACTGTATACACTGCGTATTTATTTATACACTGGATTCTTGACATAGCTTACTCTAATACATCTACTGCTGTACATGTCATTCTTAGTTGATCTTGTGTAAATTCTCCCGGTGTACATACATTGCATTTGATTACTGCTACAGTGCTATTTGGGTTGTTAATCAGATTCGTTATTGAGGTCTGTCATTAATTGTTTGACATTTTACTGCATTGTTAGGAACTAGTAACAAGCATTTCGCTGCACCCACTACACCTGCTAAACTGTGTACGCAACCAATAAACTTTGATTTGATATGCAAGCACAACTTCATTATTAGTTTGTCAAATGGTACAGCACGTCTAAGACACTGTTCAATATGTCACTTGAGGGAACTGGTCAGGTGTTAATATTCTTGGGGTATACAAATGGTGTACATTCAAGTAACTCTAACTTCACTATGAAGACTGTTAAATACATCCATATAGTCTCCCCACCCACCCACCCAAAACAACAGATGAGACAGACCACAATTTGATACAAGAAACAGCTGTATTTGACCAGAAAGGCATCTCCAACCAAGTGTCTTAACGGCATTTTCTCTCACACAACATTTCAGTGTAAAAATCATTATCTTTAATAGAAAAATCAACTTTAATAAATCCAAAATAACAATTACAATTTATCCAAAAATATGTTCCATTGTCATTACCACAGTATTTCTAAATGTAAATGTAAAATAGAAAACCATATGCATTTTTTAAGTACTATTATTTTTTGCTTAAAAACAAATCTATATGATTGTAAGAGTGCTCAGGAGGCAAGGCAGAGTTGCATTAGCGAAGATTGACGTCTCTGACAGAAGATTGGCGTTTCTCTGCCACGGAGGAAGCTAATATAATGGGTATTATTAAGTACAGTGCCTTCAGAAAGTATTCACAACCCTCAACTTTTTCCACATTTTGTGTTTTAGGTTATTGTCCTGCTGAAAGGTAAGTTTGTCTCCCAGTGTCTGTTCGAAAGCAGACTGAACCAGGTTTTCCCTCAAGGGTTTTGCCTGTGCGTAGCTCGATTACGTTTATTTTTATCCTAAAAAAGCTCCCCAGTCCTTGCCGATGCAAGCATACCCATAACATGATGCAGCCACAAACATTCTTGAAAATATGAAGAGTGGTACTCAGTGATATTGGATTTGCCCCAAACATAACACTTCGTATTCAAGACAAAAAGTTAATTTCTTTCCCACATTTTTTTGCAGTATTACTTTAGTACCTTATTGCAAACAGGATGCATGTTTTGGAATATTTCTTATTATGTACAGGCTTCCTTCTTTTCACTCTGTCATTTAGGTTAATATTGTGGAGTAACAATGTCGTAGATCCATCCTCAGTTTTCTCCCATCACCGCCATTTAAAATCACCTTTGGCCTCATGGTGAAATCCCTGAGTGGTTTCCTTCCTCTCCGGCAACTGAGTTAGGAAGAACGCCTGTATCTTTGTAGTGACTGGGAACGCTATCCAAAGTGTAATTAATAACTTCACCATGCTCAAAGGTATATTCAGTGTTAGCTTTTTGCTTTTATTCTCCTCAACTTATTTGCCATAACAAAAGGGGTTCAATACTAATTGACTCAAGACATTTCAGCTTTTCATTTTGTATTAATTTGTAAAAAATTCTAAAAGCAAAATTCCACTTTGACATTATGGGATATTGGATCAGTGACATCTACATTTTATCCATTTTAAATTCAGGCTGTAACACAACAAAAAGTGGAAGAAGTCAAGGGGTGTGAATACTTTCTGAAGGCACTGTATCTTTAGAAGATCATACACAGTCAAGTACGAGTCCCTGGACTGCACAGAGATACGTAGCAGTTACCTGCACTGCAGCAGAATCCTACCAGGTACAGTCCCCAACCTGCTCCCCTCCTCTTCTGCTGGGGTTGTCTGCGCTACATGCTAAGGAGAAGTGGGCATTGTAACTGGAATAGGACCTGGTGCAGACAGTCCTTTCTGGCACTAACTGATATGCTTCCGCTAATCCCTGAGGTGAAAAAAACTGTTGATGTGAGGTGTAGCAAGAGCTCAGAGGACAACCCGTTTACTAATACAGTATAAAGTGGCTCCGGGGTGAAGTTTCCCCTAGGTAGTGATCTAGGATCAGGTTCCTCTTCTCTAATCCTAACCTTAACCATTAGTGGGGAAAATGCAAAACTGACCCAAGATCAGCATCTAGGGGCAACTTCACCGTACTTTTATTAGGTGTAGACGGACAGACATTTAACCAGGAGATCTCCCTTATTGGTGCGAGCTAGGATTTGTAGTTCCCTGACTGCTCATGGGTAGTACAGAAACTACAGAGAAAGGCCTTAGGTGCGATTCTCCTGATTCACAGCGCTCCCCTGTGGTCAACTACTGCAGCTCGTTACAAAAATATACAAAAAAATAAACTTCTGCTGCAGCGACCACAGTTAGGTTGACTTTTAAATGTGCAACTGTTGGAAATGTACTGCGTTTCGATGGTGTGGTCGATGATATTCCCTGAATTGTTTGCTCTAGTGAAGAGTAAGGCCAGATATGTCCAGAAATGGACACCGGTAAGATATGGGAGTTGACTTGGGAGGTGGGGAGGGAGTAGAGTAGAGTAAGGTAGGCAGTGATGGCGGAGCAAGAGAGGTACAGCAGAGCTCTTGAAACCATGATAAAAACAAACGAGAAAAAGAATGGCGAATAACAGAAGTTCGGAAGAGTGCCGATTGGTACAGTCCTAAACGTATAGGTATGTGGTGAGTAGAACATTGAGGGAGAACAGCCTGAACAGTGCAGGAAATGTATGAGCCATCCACGCCTCCATATGGCCATCTCTCCCTTCCTTCCCCCCCTCACCATCTTCTGTCCAGGTGCCAGTGGCTGTATGTTGAGAGACTATACTTGGCCTCTCCTCTGCATCTCCTGGATAAATGCTGAAAGAGAAAGAGGGGGGTAATTAGTGAGAAAGAGAAGAGGCTCCAAAGTTCCTCAAATATTGTCCAAACCTACACATTATTTATTTTAAATACCTCATGGTTTAATATTATTTTCTCAATTCTCATTATTACAAATCATATATATCAGTATGACTTATACTGACATATATGATTTGTAGTAATGAGAATTGAGAAAATAATATTAAACCATGAGGTATTTAAAATAAATAATGTGTGTAAAAAGTATATAAATATAATGCAGTGGCTGGAGCAAAAATGTATTGTGATTCTTATTGACTGTACTGCTAGTAACAAAAAAAGGAAAACGCTAGGGAGTACTCCTTGAATGGGATGGGCCAGATCAGGAACTCACCCCCGATAATTTCATCCTTCACTTTATGGAGCTCTTTTCTCACTTCCTCAAGGATGTCCTAAACACACAAATCAAAATAGCATTATCTGAGAATGATGCCCATAGATTGTCTTTATCTGACACCATTAGTAGAGGAGCAATGGCCTCCTGTTATGTCTAGTCTACATGACAGTAATCCTTTAAACACAACACAAACAGGTCAAAGGTGGAGCTCACCTGTTTGATTCTCTCCATCTCTGTGTCTTCACTGCCTGTGCTGGCCGTGGTGCTGTTCACTGCCTTCATCCTGAGAGAAACAGAGAGATAGACAGAGAGAGGAAGAGAGACAGAGAGAGGAAGAGAGTTAGCGAGCGAGAGGAGGAGGAGAGAGAGAGGAGAGAGAATGAAAAAAAGGAGTGAATGGCGGGAGAGCAGGAGGTCAACAACAAACACCAAGGATATGGAAGCTCAGTTTGGCCAAAAGTGGCGGATTGTTGCGCTCCCACAGCCGCTATCCAGCCATCTAGTCACCGTGGTAACAGCCATAGCACCACGGAAAGTTGCAGACCAATGAGGAGTGGATAACGCCCCTCTGCTGGTGTTGTACAGACATAGAAACTGAAGTCTTTTCAAATGGTCAGTGTGGTGTGACTTTGCCTACATTACTTGCAATAGGTTTTTTTCCAACTACGCACTAGTACACCAGATTTAACTTATCATAGCCACTGATCTTGAGTTAATCAATTTAGTTTCCAAATCTGAGGGGATGAGACAATTGTTTGATCAGGTGGTGACTTGAGAGAGGCCCCAGTCCAGAAACAGACCCTAACCTCTTGGCACTTGATGTAGATATGAAAGAATTGGACTGGTACTATAAACAATATGGTAGTTGTCCCACCTTGCCCTCTGATAGCCTAAGTGGATAATTTTTACTATATTGCTTATACCTATCCATTCACTTCAAATCTACACCAATGCCTAGAGCAGGGTTAGGCAACTACATTTTTTATTTTTGTTGGGTAAAATGTCTACATTGCAAATTGACCACAACCAAGCCCAAAAGGAGATTGTATTTGAAAATAATAATTTCATACCTTGATTACATTGAGACACGATCACATATGTCTCTTTTTGTAATTGTGGGAATACTTGGGAACACATTTCCTAAATTCAACTCCCTGTGATTTTAGTCTTTTTTTTAACCAAAAACGAAACCCCCCCCCTCAAATAATAAATATACACTACCGGTCAAAATGTTTAGAACACCTACTCATTCAAGGGTTTTTCTTTATTTTTACTAATTTCTACATTGTAGAATAATAGTGAAGATATCAAAACTATGAAATAACACATATGGAATCATGTATTAACCCCAAAAAGTTTTTAGTAAAATAATTATATATACACTACCAAGGGCAAAATAAATCACTTGCGGGCCGGTGTTGTACCGCGGGCCCCCTGTTGCCGACCCCTGGCCTAGGGTGTATAGAGGGTTGTTTCTGGGCTGGGCCCTGTCATTAGCAGGAGCAGGACATACATGCTTAGTCAGAGGTCATAGTAAAGGCACATACAGCAGGCTCAGTGCAAAGCCGCGGCAAAAAGATGCAGTTCAATGAAACCATCTCTTGCTCTATTTCTGTGACCCTTTATTAAATCTTAGCAAGACCGAAAATACAAAAACAGAGAGTACCAAATACCAGGCCTTGAGGATTGCAAGGCCCTAAAGCAGAGTGTTTCCCAATCCTGGTCCTGGAGAGGTGCACATTTTAGTTTTTGCCCTTGTACTAAAATACATACTTGATTCAACCAATTAATCATCATCACGCCTTTGAATAGAATCACATGTGTTAGTGCTAGGGCAAAAACTAAAATGTTCACAGCATTGTGTTGCTTAATCCCTTGGCACAAGAGGCCACACGTAGCACACAGGGCTGTTGGTAGTTCCCTAGTGGGACACTCCAGGGTGAAGCTTCCCCTAGGTACAGATCTAGTATCAGCTTCCTCTCCCCAATCCTAACCTTAACCATTAGTGGGGGAAATGCAAAACTGACCCAAGACCAGCGTCTATGGGCAACTTCACCCTACACCTAGTGGGACAGTGGAGAAGCTGCAGACAGACATGGAGCCCCAGCATTAGGGTCTAGGTATAAGGGAAGAGGGTAGGAGGGTAGGAGGGGGGGGGCAAATAGGGGGTACCTGGGCAATGGGTCAGAGGATGGAGAAGGGGGGGCAGGAGGAAGGGCAGGGGTGGTGGAGGTGGGGCTGCTCTCCTGCAGCTGGGTCTTGGTGGTTGAGTTAGTCCTGTTTGAGACATGTAAGATTTTCTCTCAAACATGAAACACGCTCTCTTTACAGTGCTAGAGAGGTGGGATAGAAAAAGACTGGGCCGGCTCCACTGGGGGGCACAGATTGAATTTGTGCCTGCCTAGTTTTGTCCCCCCATAGTAAACATAAAAACAGTTATTGTAGAAAAGTAATAAACAGGGGGTGGGTGAACTGGGCTGTAATTTCCTGCACCACAGGTACGAGAGACAGTGTGGTGGTGTTTATTGTGTTGATGTTCAACAGACCGGGGAGTTCCCTACCTTGGCATGGTGGCTGATTTCTCCCACGGTCTCCTGAGGGTGTCTTTCATGGCAAAAGGAGATCATGAGAATTATGAAACATCAAAGAATATATATTATATTTATGTAGCGGTATAATATTTTATTCAATAAAAGGCCAACAAATGCTTCACAGCTCAAATCAGACAAAGGAGAGAAGAAGTGCACACCATATAAAAACATTTTGCAACAGAAAACAAAAATGAGTGTTTCTTTTTGGACAAGTTCAGCTAGTCCCTCCCTGTTTCGGTGCGTTTTCTTTCATTTGGTGGTGCCTAATGAATACATATTTCTTGAAAATATATGCTTTCTGGAACAGCCCCCAGGTGCATGCCCAGTCAAATACAAAAGGAATGAATGAAGACTTCAGCGGATCTACTCACCACCTTGGCCTGAGGACTTTGAGGAGTCTTCCTAAAAGCACAAAATGACATTGCCTCATCCCTTTACCACGCAAATATGTGTTTAACCACAGTGTGACTTGACTTGCAGCTTACACACACATTCTTAAGGATTTATTACGAGAGGATTGTTGTCTCTACAAAGATGATTTACAATAGACTTACATTGCTGGGCACATCCTTCTTTGCGCCTGGATTATCTGACATTTTCTTCCTGTACAAAAAGACAATGAAGCAACGGCTTAGCCTCTGCAATCTCACACACGCAAAGCCATATGATCGTAAACGTCACACACACACACACTTGACGTGAACACTCATCATACACACTCGTCCAGCCCCACATGTAACAAAGACTGAGGCAGTGGCTCACCGTCGGGCCAGGATGGCACTCATCTCCCCCATCAGATTTCCTCCCCCACCACCACCTCCTCCTGATGGAGGAGATGCTGCCGCACCACCATCCTCCTACAGAGATACACAGGCTCTTTCAATATTTAAAAAAAATGCTCCCTTCTTTCCTTCCTTCCTTAAGGAAATCACTGATCTGACACGAAGATTTGTGAAAGGTGGAAACCGTGTCTTCACCTAGAGTTGGCAGTTTGTAAGGCAACAAAATAGGAAAAATGGCAAGGGGGGTGAAAATTTTCGCAAGCCACTGTATATCTACTCACTTACAGACCAGGGATTACCTCAAAAAAGGGAGGAAGGAATGAAATATTCTCACTGAATATACAACTATGTTGTAACAAAAACAGGAACTATTCTGGAGTAGTGATGAAGAAAAACTTGAATGGCTATTTAGGAAATGTGTATTCCTGGTTGCAAACGCAATCTCCAAAGCTTGGAAGATGTGACATGATAAGTTGTATATTTAAAAAAAATGTATTTATTTTGTTTTTCATTTCCATATGAATTAAAAAATACAATATTATTATATATATATAAATATAAATATATATATACAGTTGAAGTCGGAAGTCTACATACACCTTAGCCAAATACATTTAAACTCAGTTTTTCACAATTCCTGACATTTAATCCTAGTAGAAATTCCCTGTCTTAGGTCAGTTAGGATCACCACTTTATTTTAAGAATGTGTAATGTCAGAATAATAGTAGAGAGAATGATTTATTTAAGCTTTTATTTCTTTCATCACATTCCCAGTGGGTCAGAAGTTTACATACACTCAATTAGTATTCGGTAGCATTGCCTTTAAATTGTTTAACTTGGGTCAAACGTTTCGGGTAGCCTTCCACAAGCTTCCCACAATAAGTTGGGTGAATTTTGGCCCATTCCTCCTGACAGAGCTGGTGTAACTGAGTCAGGTATGTAGGCCTCCTTGCTCGCACACGCTTTTTTAGTTCTGCCCACAAATTCTCTATAGGATTGAGGTCAGGGCATTGTGATGGCCACTCCAATACCTTGACTTTGTTGTCCTTAAGCCATTTTGCCACAACTTTGGAAGTATGCTTGGGGTCATTGTCCATTTGGAAGACCCATTTGCGACCAATATTTAACTTCCTGACTGATGTGTTGAGCTGTTGCTTTAATATATCGACATAATTTTCCTTCTTCATGATGCCATCTATTTAGTGAAGTGCACCAGTCCCTCCTGCAGCAAAGCACCCCCACAGCATGATGCTGCCACCCCCGTGCTTCACGGTTGGGAAGGAGTTTTTCGGCTTGCAACCCTTCCACTTTTTCCTCCAAACATAACGATGGTCATTATGGACAAACAGTTCTATTTTGGTTTCATCCGACCAGACGACATTTCTCCAAAAAGTACGATCTTTGTCCCCATGTGCAGTTGCAAACCCAATTCTGGCTTTTTTATGGCGGTTTTGGAGCAGTTGCTTCTTCCTTGCTAAGCGGCCTTTCAGGTTATGTCGATATAGGACTTGTTTTACTGTGGATATAGATACTTTTGTACCTGTTTCCTCCATCATCTTCACAAGGTCCTTTGCTGTTGTTCTGGGATTTATTTGAACTTTTCGCACCAAAGTACGTTCATCTCTAGGAGACAGAACACATCTCCTGAGCGGTATGATGGCTGCTTGGTCCCATGGTGTTTATACTTGCATACTATTGTTTGTACAGATGAACGTGGTACCTTCAGGCGTTTGGAAATTGCTCCCAAGGATGAACCAGCCTTGCGGAGGTCTACACATTTTTTTTCAGAGGTCTTGGCTGATTTCTTTTGATTTTCCCATGATGTCAAGCAAAGAGGCACTGAGTTTGAAGGTAGGCCTTGAAATACATCCACAGGTACACCTCCAATTGACTCAAATGATATAAATTAGCCTATCAGAAGCTTCTAAAGCCATGACATAATTTTCTGGAATTTTCCAAGCTGTTTAAAGGCACAGTCAACTTAATGTTTTGTACACTCTGTGTGTGTGTGTATGTATGTGTGTATGTATGTGTGTATGTGTGTATGTGTGTATGTATGTATGTATGTATATATATATATATATATATATATATATATATATATATATATATATATATATATATATATATACATATACACACACACACACACACATATACACACACTACCAGTCAAAATTTTTGACACACCTATTCTTTCAAGGGTTTTTGACAATTTTTGACAATTTTCTACATTGTAGAATAATAGTGAAGACATCAAAACTATGAAATAACACATATGGAATCATGTAGTAACCAAAAAATATTATTCAAATAGCCACCCTTTGCCTTGATGACAGCTTCATGAGGTAGTCACCTGGAATGCATTTCAATTAACAGGTGTGCCTTCTTAAAAGTTAATTTGTGGAATTTCTTTCCTTCTTAATGTGTTTGAGCCAATCAGTTGTGTTGTGACAAGGTGGGGGGGGGGGGGGGGTTACAGAAGATAGCCCTATTTGGTAAAAGACCAAGTCCACATTAATGGCAAGAACAGCTCAAATAAGCAAAGAGAAATGACAGTCCATCATTCCTTTAAAGACATGAAGGTCAGTCAATACAGAACATTTCAAGAACTTTGAAAGTTTCTTCAAGTGCAGTCGCAAAAACCATAAAGCGCTATGATGAAACTGTCTCTCATGAGGACCGCACAGGAAAGGAAGACCCAGAGTTACCTCTGCTGCAGAGGATAAGTTCATTAAAGTTACCAGCCTCAGAAATTGCAGCCCAAATAAATGCTTCACAGAGTTCAAGTAACAGACACATCTCAACATCAACTGTTCAGAGGGGACTGTGTGAATTCGGCCTTCATGGTTGAATTGCTGCAAAGAAACCACTACTAAAGGACACCAATAAGAAGAAGAGACCTGCTTGGGCCAAGAAACACGAGCAATGGAAATTAGACCCGTGGAAATTTGTCCGTTGGTCTGGAGTCCAAATGTGAGATTTTTGGTTCCAACCACCGTGTCTTTGTGAGACGCGGTTTGGGTGAACGGATGATCTCGGCATGTGTATTTCCCACCGTAAAGCATGGAGGAGGAGGTGTTATGGTGTGGGGGTGCTTTGCTGGTGACAATGTCTGTGATTTATTTAGAATTCAAGGCACACTTAACCAGCATGGCTACCACAGCATTCTACAGCGATACGCTATCCCATCTGGTTTGGGCTTAGTGGGACTATCATTTGTTTTTCAACAGGACAATGACCCAACACACCTCCAGGCTGTGTAAGGGCTATTATACCAAGAAGGAGAGTGATGGAGTGCTGCATCAGATGACCTGGCCTCCACAATCACCCGACCTCAACCCAACTGAGATGGTTTGGGATGAGTCGGACGGCAGAGTGAAGTAAAAGCTGCCAACAAGTGCTCAGCATAGGTGGGAACTCCTTCAAGACTTTTGCTAAAGCATTCCAGTTGAAGCTGGTTGAGAGAATGCCAAGAGTGTGCAAAGCTGTCATCAAGGCAAAGGGTGGCTATTTGAAAATATATTTTGATTTGTCGAACACTTTTTTGTTTACTACATGATTCCATGTGATTCCATAGTTTTGATGTCTTCACTATTATTATACAATGTAAAAAAAAATCTAAAATTGTCAAAAACCCTTGAATGAGTAGGTGTGTCCAAAATTCTGACAGGTAGTGTGTGTATATATATATATATATATATATCTATATCTATATATATATATATATATATCTATATCTATATATATATATATATATATATATATATATATATATATATATATATATATATATCTATCTATCTATATCTACACATACATACATACATACATACATACATACATACATACATACATACATACATACATACACACACATAGTGTACAAAACATGTCCATTGACCGACCAGCTGAATCCAGGTGAAAAGTATGATCCCTTATTGATGTCACTTGTTAAATCCACTTCAATTTGAAGGGGAGGAGACCGGTTAAAGAAGGATTTTTAAGCCTTGAGACAATTGAGACATGGATTGTGTACAGTGAGGGAAAAAAGTATTTGATCCCCTGCTGATTTTGTACATTTGCCCACTGACAAGGAAATGATCAGTCTATAATTTTAATGGTAGGTTTATTTGAACAGTGAGAGACAGAATAACAACAACAAAAAAATTCTGAAAAACGCATGTCAAAAATGTTATACATTTATTTGCATTTTAATGTGGGAAATAAGTATTTGACCCCCTCTCAATCAGAAAGATTTCTGGCTCCCAGGTGTCTTTTATACAGGTAACGAGCTGAGATTAGGAGCACACTCTTAAAGGGAGTGCTCCTTATCTCAGTTTGTTACCTGTATAAAAGACACCTGTTCACAGAAGCAATCAATCAATCAGATTCCAAACTCTCCACCATGGCCAAGACAAAAGAGCTCTCCAAGGATGTCAGGGACAAGATTGTAGACCTACACAAGGCTGGAATGGGCTACAAGACCATCGCCAAGCAGCTTGGTGAGAAGGTGACAACAGCTGGTGTGATTATTTGCAAATGGAAGAAACACAAAATAACTGTCAATCTCCGGCCTGGGGCTCCATGCAAGATCTCACCTCGTGGAGTTGCAATGATCATGAGAACGGTGAGGAATCAGCCCAGAACTACACGGGAGGATCTTGTCAATGATCTCAAGGCAGCTGGGACCATAGTCACCAAGAAAACAATTGGTAACACACTACGCTGTGAAGGACTGAAATCCTGCAGCACCCGCAAGGTCCCCCTGCTCAAGAAAGCACATATACAGGCCTGTCTGAAGTTTGCCAATGAACATCTGAATGATTCAGAGGAGAACTGGGTGAATGTGTTGTGGTCAGATGAGACCAAAATGGAGCTCTTTGGCATCAACTCAACTCGCCGTGGAATACTGCCTATGACCCCAAGAACACCATCCCCACTGTCAAACATGGAGGTGGAAACATTATGCTTTGGGGGTGTTTTTCTGCTAAGGGGACAGGACAACTTCACCGCATCAAAGGGACGATGGATGGGGCCATGCACCGTCAAATCTTGGGTGAGAACCTCCTTCCCTCAGCCAGGGCATTGAAAATGTGTCGTGGATGGGTATTCCAGCATGACAATGACCCAAAACTCACGGCCAAGGCAACGAAGGAGTGGCTCAAGAAGAAGCACATTAAGGTCCTGGAGTGGCCTAGCCAGTCTCCAGACCTTCATCCCGTAGAAAATCTGTGGAGGGAGCTGAAAGTTTGAGTTGCCAAACGTCAACCTCGAAACCTTAATGACTTGGAGAAGATCTGCAAAGATGAGTGGGACAAAATCCCTCCTGAGATGTGTGCAAACCTGGTGGCCAACTACAAGAAACGTCTGACCTCTGTGATTGCCAACAAGGGTTTTGCCACCATGTACTAAATCATGTTTTGCAGAGGGGTCAAATACTTATTTCCCTCATTAAAATGCAAATCACTATTTACTTGATAACATTTTTGACATGCGTTTTTCTGGATTTTTTTGTTGTTATTCTGTCTCTCACTGTTCAAATAAACCTACCATTAAAATTATAGACAGATAATTTATTTGTCAGTGGGCAAATGTACAAAATCAGCAGGGGATCAAATACTTTTTTCCCCTCACTGTATGTAAATAAAGTATTTGTTTTTTATTTTTAATAAATGTGCAAACATTTAAAAAAAACTGTTTTCGCTTTGTCATTATGAGGTATTGTGTGTAGATTGATGAGGATTTTAAAATAAGACTGTAAAGTAACAAAATGTGGAAAAAGTCAAGGGGTATGAATACTTTCCGAATGCACTGTATACAGTTTCTAGTGAAAGTCTTACACACCCCTTACAAAGTCTTCACATTTTGCTGCCTTAAAATCTCATCAAAAAAATATTAAATTTTTCCTGTCAATCTACATGACCATCTCCATATTTTCAAAGTGAAAGAAAAATTGTTTCCAATAAGAAATGAAAATGTATTGATTGTTTGTCTTCACACCCCAGAGTTAATACTTGGTTGAAGATTCTACCAACCTTGCACAACTCTTAGGGCAACATATCCATTGTTTTTGTCAAAATTACTCAAGCTTAGTAAATTTGGTTGGGAACCATTGATGCCACTGATTTTCAAGCAGATTTAAGTCAGGACTGAGACTAAACAATTCATGAAAACTCAACACCTCTTGGAAAGCCATTCTGATATGTTAAAAAATACACACAAATCATCCATTCTGTTTGCAACAACACCATTCAGCAATACTGCAAGACAACACAGCAAATAAATTAACTTTTTGGCCTGAGTTAAAAACTAGAGGTTTGGGTCAAATCCAATACAACGCGAGTGAAACTCTGTATTGCCAAATATTGTGGTGGCAGCATCATGTTATTGTCACAGGCAGGGACTGGGGAGTACTGTATGTAAGGAGCAAAATAAATATGAAAAGGAGTAAAGCCCAGGTAAAGAGTTACAGGAAAACCTGCCTCAGACTTCTGAATACCTAACCCTTGGACAGATCTGTATTTTTCAGTGGGACAATTACACACATTTTAATGCTAAAGACACACCATAATAGAGTGTTCCTGAGTGGTCCAGTCTCAGTCCTAACTTACATTTTTCTTGAAAATCAGAGACAAGGTTTGAATATTGCTGTCCATCAATGATTCCCAAACAAATGTAGTTAGCTTGAGCAATTTTGACAAAAACAATGGATATAGGTTGCCCTAAGAGTTGTGCAAAGTTGGTAGAATCTTATAAAAACAATATTGACAGCTGTAATAGCTGTATTAACTGTGGAGTGCAAAGACATGCAATCAATACATAATTGTTTTATTCATTTGGAAAATGTTCTATAATTTTCATTCACCTTGAACATGTGGGTAGGTTCTGTAGATCTGTAGGGGGAAAGATCCAGTTTAATCCCTTTTTAGATTTATTTGTAAGGCGGCAAAATGTGAAGACTGTGCAAGGGGTGTGTAGACTTTCACTAGACACTGTATACATTATTTATTTATTCTGCTACAGCAAATACAGTGTCTTATAAGCCCATGTGGGCTGGGTACCCTGAAGATGCATGACATAATAATAATAAAATCAATCAATCAATCATGCATCAACAATGGAATATGGAGTAAAAGGGGCGCGTTCCAGGTTGTCTTTTTTTAAGGCGCCTGGACAACTCTATATCATATTGGTGTGGTTCTTGAGACATTAAACCAGGGCTCTCCAACCCTGTTCCAGGAGAGATACCCTCCTGTAGGTTTTCGCTCCAACCCCAGGTGTGACCAACCTGATTCAGCTTATCAACCAGCTAATTATTTGAATCTGGTGTCCAGGTTAGGGTTGTGAGAAACTTCCGGGCCGGTAGCGCTCCAAGAACAGTGCCCTGCGTTAAACACTTCTCCAAGCCTTGTGAGATCTGGTCATATGTGCAGCATGACTGTGATAAATGCAACCTGGAAAACAGCCGTGATGCTGGTCTCACCTTGGCCGATTTGCGTAGTTTGGCTCCTGCTAGGGCTGCAGCTAGTCCCTCGGGCCCACCGAGACCCCCTCCATCGTCCCCTCCTCCTCCTCCCCCTCCCCCAGACAGAGGTGGGGCAGGTGGGGCCCCGGACCCAGGGGGTGGTGGGGGGCCAGGTGGGGGTGGGGGGCCAGCAGGTGGGGGGCCTGGGGGTGGAGGCGGGCCTGGGGGAGGCGGGGGGCAACCAGGGCCAGAGGGAGGGGCAGGCGGGGCTGCAGGGGGGATGGGTGCGACCTGTCTCTCTCTCTCCAGCCGCTCTCGCTCCTGCTGCTCCTGCCTCTGCAGCTCCAGTCTGCGAGGGGGAGACAGAGTTCTTTATATCAGTTAATGTTCAAATACAAGTTTAAACACAGGCACACACAAAGGTGCGTGCACACATACACATGCTTGCACGCACACAAAAAATTAAAGACTATGATTGCATATTATCTACAAATATCATCTACACACCATATCAGCCATGTGTGAGATCAATCTATTGTAGGTTAGAGTGTGTTACTGTAGATTAGTGTGTGTACAGTATGGGAGGTTAGAATAATATATGTTATTTAGCAGACACTTTAATCCAAAGCGACTAACAGTAGTGCATGCATTAATTTTCATATGGATGGCCCCAGCAGGAATTTAACCCACTACCCTGGTGTTGCAAGCACCCATGCTCTACCAACTGAGCCACACAGGGCCTGAGTGTGTTAGCGTCAGTGTTAGGTTTCAGTGACACCTAACATGTTTGTTCAGACACCAGTTTATACCAGTCTGGTCTATCCCATTATCAATGACCAGGCGATACTCCCCAGTAATCCTGTATATTCAAGGTAGAGGACACCTCAAGTGGAGGACAAAGCATCATTTCAAAGGGTCAACTATACCTGGCTGGCTCATGTCATAGGTTAAGCACTGTTCTCTTCTGGTTACCTGCAGTGAGGAGGATTCTCAAGTGTATTGCCGTGTCTCTTGAATGGCTAGCTTTCAGCTGACATATAGTTAGTCTCCACTATTGGTTAAAGCCGGTTTGAATGTGTTTTCCTCCCTCGATTAACCTGTAATGGCTTTGTTAAAAATTAGACTTAGATGCCAATTTACAGACAGGTTTCGAACACATTTCCCATTTCAATACATTTTCTTTATGTTAATAGCTCTAACACTATCCCTTCAGTGACTACATAAAGCGTAATCCCCTGTGGAACCAATATGGACAGTGTTTAAAAGTACAAATAACTGAAACTCAATCCAACTGTTTAGTTGTGCTGCAGAAATGAAGCAAATGTAAATAGATGTGAGAGGTGAGTATGCTATTTCTATTCCATGATAGAGAGCTACAGTGCCTTCAGAAAGTATTCACACCCCTTCAATGTTTTCACATTTTGTCTTCTTACAGCCTGAATTTAAAATTGATTAAATTAAGATGTTTTAGTCACTGGCCTACACATAATACCCCATAATGTCAAATTGGAATTATGTTTTTCAAAATGGTTACAAATGAATTAAAAATGAAAAGCTGAAATGTCTTCAGTCAATAAGTATTCAACCCAGTTGTTATGGCAAGCCTAAAGTTCAGGAGTAAACATTTGCTTAACAATTCACTTAATAAGCTGCATGGACTGCTACGGAATCATGTAGTAAACAAAAAAGTGTTAAACAAATCAAAATATATTTTATATTTGAGATTCTTCAAATAGCCACCCTTTGCCTTGATGACAGCTTTGCACACTCTTGGCATTCTCTCAACCAGCTTCACCTGGAATGCTTTTCCAACAGTCTTGAAGGAATTCCCACATATGCTGAGCACTTGTTGGCTGCTTTTCCTTCACTCTGCTGTCCGACTCATCCCAAACCATCTCAATTGGGTTGAGGTCGGGGGATTGTGGAGGTCAGGTCATTTGATGCAGCACTCCATCACTCTCCTTCTTGGTAAAATAGCCCTTACACAGCCTGGAGGTGTGTTTGGTCATTGTCGGTCCTCTGTAGCTCAGCTGGTAGAGCACGGCGCTTGTAACGCCAAGGTAGTGGGTTCGATCCCCGGGACCACCCATACACAAAAAAAATTAATGCACGCATGACTGTAAGTCGCTTTGGATAAAAGCGTCTGCTAAATGGCATATTATTATTATTATTGTCCTGTTGAAAAACAAATTATAGTCCCACTAAGCCCAAACCAGATGGGATGGCGCATCGCTGCAGAATGCTGTGGTAGCCATGCTGGTTAAGTGTGCCTTGAATTCTAAATAAATCACAGACCGTGTTACCAGAAAAGAACCCCAACACCATAACACGTCTTCCTCCATGCTTTACGGTGGGAAATATGCATGTGGAGATCATCCGTTCACCCACACTGCGTCTCATCAAAGACATGGCGGTTGGAACCAAAAATCTCAAATTTGGATTCCAGACCAACGGACAAATTTCCACCTGTCTAATGTCCATTGCTCGTGTTTCTTGGCCCAAGCAGATCTCTTCTTCTTATTGGTGTCCTTTAGTAGTGGTTTCTCTGCAGCAATTCAACCATGAAGGCCTGATTCACACAGTCCCCTATGAAGAGTTGATGCTGAGATGTGTCTGTTACTTGAACTCTGTGAAGCATTTATTTGGGCTGCAATTTCTGAGGCTGGTTACTCTAATGAATTTACCCTCTGCAGCAGAGGTAACTCTGGGTCTTCCTTTCCTGTGGCGGTTCTCATGAGAACCAGTTTCATCATAGCGCTTGATGGTTTTTGCGACTGCCCTTGAAGAAACTTTCAAAGTTCTTGACATTTTCCGTATTGACTGACCTTCATGTTGTAAAGTAATGATGGACTGTCATTTCTCTTTGTTTATTTGTTCTTGCCATAATATGGACTTGGTCTTTTACCAAATATGGCTATCTTCTGTATACCCCCCCTACCTTGTCACAACACAACTGATTGGCTCAAACGCATTACGAAGGAAAGAAATTCCACAAATTAACAAGGCACACCTGTTAATTGAAATGCATTCCAGGTGACTACCTCATGAAGCTGGTTGAGAGAATGCCAAGAGTGTGCATAGCTGTCATCAAGGCAAAGGGTGGCTATTTGAAGAATATCAAATATCAAATATATTTTGATTTGTTTATCACTTTTTTGGTTACTACATGATTCCATATGTGTTATTCCATAGTTTTGATGTCTTTACTATTATTCTACAATGTAAAAAATTGTAAAAAATTAAGAAAAACTATTGAATGAGTAGGTGTGTCCAAACTTTTGACTGGTAGTGTATATATACATTTTACAGACACAGTATATTTTACATTAGTTATCTTTTGTTTGTTTTTAGTCCCATCCTTCAGCTACCCCGAACCCCTCCCATATATTTCTGAAAACCATCCAGTTTCGATTTCTATTTGTCATATATTTTTCAACCGTGCTATGATGTTTCACAAAAGTTCTGAACCTTACTACAGATTGTAAATTAAAGATAACATTTTTTGATAAGGGTATTATTATATTATTGATCGTTTGACTATGACTTTTCAGATCCCCCAGTAGTGCTACTTGCAGAATTAACTCCAGGTAAATGTTGCAATTCTTCAGCCATTCCTGAACCTACTACCAAAAACAAGCTACATATGGACAGTACCAAAACAAATGATCTAATGATTCTGTCACTTCGCAGCAGGATCTGCAGAGCTGGGATGGTTGTATCCCCCATATACAGTGCATTCGGAAAGTATTCAGACCCCTTGACTTTTTCCACATTTTGTTACGTTACATTCTTATTCTAATCAAAAATGTTCCTCATCAATCTACACACAATACCCCATAATGACAAAGCGAAAACAGGTTTGTAGAAATGTTTGCAAATGTATTACAAATAAATAAGTATTCAGACCCATTGCTATGAGACTCGAAATGTAGGTCAGGTGCATCCTGTTTCCATTGATCATCCTTGAGATGTTTCTACAACTTTCTCCCCCTTCCATTTGCCTCTTCCATTTTTGCGGTAATGCTGCAATTAGTTGGTTGTAATTTTGGATAGAGCAGACATTTCCACATATTTTTGTTAGCTGCATGTGTGACATACAGTGGGGAAAAAAAGTATTTAGTCAGCCACCAATTGTGCAAGTTCTCCCACTTAAAAAGATGAGAGAGGCCTGTAATTTTCATCATAGGTACACGTCAACTATGACAGACAAAATGAGAAAAAAAATCCAGAAAATCACATTGTAGGATTTTTTATGAATTTATTTGCAAATTATGGTGGAAAATAAGTATTTGGTCAATAACAAAAGTTTCTCAATACTTTGTTATATACCCTTTGTTGGCAATGACACAGGTCAAACGTTTTCTGTAAGTCTTCACAAGGTTTTCACACACTGTTGCTGGTATTTTGGCCCATTCCTCCATGCAGATCTCCTCTAGAGCAGTGATGTTTTGGGGCTGTCGCTGGGCAACACAGCCTTTCAACTCCCTCCAAAGATTTTCTATGGGGTTGAGATCTGGAGACTGGCTAGGCCACTCCAGGACCTTGAAATGCTTCTTACGAAGCCACTCCTTCGTTGTCCGGGCGGTGTGTTTGGGATCATTGTCATGCTGAAAGACCCAGCCATGTTTCATCTTCAATGCCCTTGCTGATGGAAGGAGGTTTTCACTCAAAATCTCACGATACATGGCCCCATTCATTCTTTCCTTTACACGGATCAGTCGTCCTGGTCCCTTTGCAGAAAAACAGCCCCAAAGCATGATGTTTCCACCCCCATGCTTCACAGTAGGTATGGTGTTCTTTGGATGCAACTCAGCATTCTTTGTCCTCCAAACACGACGAGTTGAGTTTTTACCAAAAAGTTATATTTTGGTTTCATCTGACCATATGACATTCTCCCAATCCTCTTCTGGATCATCCAAATGCACTCTAGCAAACTTCAGACGGGCCTGGACTTAAGCAGGGGGACACGTCTGGCACTGCAGGATTTGAGTCCCTGGCGGCGTAGTGTGTTACTGATGGTAGGCTTTGTTACTTTGGTCCCAGCTCTCTGCAGGTCATTCACTAGGTCCCCCCGTGTGGTTCTGGGATTTTTGCTCACCGTTCTTGTGATCATTTTGACCCCACGGGGTGAGATCTTGCGTGGAGCCCCAGATCGAGGGAGATTATCAGTGGTCTTGTATGTCTTCCATTTCCTAATAATTGCTCCCACAGTTGATTTCTTCAAACCAAGCTGCTTACCTATTGCAGATTCAGTCTTCCCAGCCTGGTGCAGGTCTACAATTTTGTTTCTGGTGTCCTTTAACAGCTCTTTGGTCTTGGCCATAGTGGAGTTTGGAGTGTGACTGTTTGAGGTTGTGGACAGGTGTCTTTTATACTGATAACAAGTTCAAACAGGTGCCATTAATACAGGTAACGAGTGGAGGACAGAGGAGCCTCTTAAAGAAGAAGTTACAGGTCTGTGAGAGCCAGATATCTTGCTTGTTTGTTGGTGACCAAATACTTATTTTCCACCATAATTTGCAAATAAATTCATTAAAAATCCTACAATGTTATTTTCTGGAGAAAAAAAATCTCAATTTGTCTGTCATAGTTGACGTGCACCTATGATGAAATTACAGGCCTCTCTCATCTTTTTAAGTGGGAGAACTTGCACAATTGGTGGCTGACTAAATACTTTTTTTCCCCACTGTAACTGAAAATGGTTGTTTAGCAATGATCAACAACCAATTTGACAGAGGTTGAAGAATTTTGAAAATAATAATGGGTAAATATTGTACAATCCAAGTGTGGAAAGCTCTTAGAGACTTACCCAGAAAGACACTGCTGTAATCGCTGCCAAAAGTGATTCTAACATGTATTGACTGGGGTGTGAATACTTATGTAAACAAGATATGTATGTATTTCATTTTCAATACATTTGCTAAGATTTCTAAAAACATGTTTTCACTTTGTCATTATGGGGGATCATTATGGGGTATTTCTAAAAACATGTTTTCACTTTGTCATTATGGGGTAATATTTAATCCATTTTGATTCAGGCTGTAACAACAAAATGTGGAATAAGTCAAGGGGTATGAATACTTTCTGAAGGCATGTTTATTCTATTCATTACATTCCTATCTGTAATGTTCAGAATTGTAGGCATGTGAACTGATTCGGATGGATTCCGTCTACAGTCTAGTCCAATATTCTGTACTTGTTGCTGGAAATCTAGGGGACAGCATATTAGAACGGTCTATCTATACTGAGCATTGTGAGAGTAAAAACGTTGTGAATACCATTTACCCTATCAAAATTACATAAGTATAGAGACTTATGCTTAAAATAGAAAAATGATCTACTAACCAACAGTCAGATAGGCAATAGCCAAGTTTTTTTATTATTATTTTTATTTAACCTTTATTTAACCAGGTAAGCCAGTTGAGAACAAGTTCTCATTTACAACTGCGACCTGGCCAAGATAAAGCAAAGCAGTGCGATAAAAACAACAACACAGAGTTACATATGGGGTAAAACAAAACAAAGTCAAAAATACAACAGAAAATATATATACAGTGTGTGCAAATGTAGCAAGTTATGGAGGTAAGGCAATTAATAGGCTATAGTGCAAAATAATTACAATTAGTATTAACACTGGAATGATAGATGTGCAAGAGATTATGTGCAAATAGAGATACTGGGGTGCAAATGACCAAAATAAATAACAATATGGGGGATGAGGTAGTTGGGTGGGCTAATTTCAGATGGGCTGTGTACAGGTGCAGTGATCGGTAAGGTGCTCTGACAACTGATGCTTAAAGTTAGTGAGGGAGATAAGAGTCTCCAGCTTCAGAGATTTTTGCAGTTCGTTCCAGTCATTGGCAGCAGAGAACTGGAAGGAATGGCGGCCAAAGGAGGTGTTGGCTTTGGGGATGACCAGTGAGATATACCTGCTGGAGCGCATACTATGGGTGGGTGTTGCTATGGTGACCAATGAGTTAAGATAAGGAGGGGATTTGCCTACCAGTGATTTATAGATGGCCTGGAGCCAGTGGGTTTGGCGCCGAATATGTAGTGAGGACCAGCCAACAAGAGCGTACAGGTCACAGTGGTGGGTAGTATATGGGGCTTTAGTGACAAAACGGATGGCACTGTGATAGACTATATCCAATTTGCTGAGTAGAGCGTTGGAGGCTATTTTGTAAATGACATCGCCGAAGTGAAGGATCGGTAGGATAGTCAGTTTTACGAGGGCGTGTTTGGCAGCAAGAGTGAAGGAGGCTTTGTTGTGAAATAGGAAGCCGATTCTAGATTTAACTTTGGATTGGAGATGCTTAATATGAGTCTGGAAGGAGAGTTTACAGTCTAACCAGACACCTAGGTATTTGTAGTTGTCCACATACTCTAGGTCAGACCCGTCGAGAGTAGTGATTCTAGTCGGGTGGACGGGTGCCAGCAGCGTTCGATTGAAGAGCATACATTTAGTTTTACTTGTGTTTAAGAGCAGTTGGAGGCTACGGAAGGAGTATTGTATGGCATTGAAGCTCGTTTGGAGGTTTGTTAACACAGTGTCCAATGAAGGGCCAGATGTATACAAAATGGTGTCGTCTGCGTAGAGGTGGATCTGAGCATCACCGGCAACAAGAGCGACATCATTGATATACACAGAGAAAAGAGTCGGCCGAAGAATTGAACCCTGTGGCACCCCCATAGAGACTGCCATAGGTCCAGACAACAGGCCCTCCGATTTGACACATTGAACTCTATCTGAGAAGTAGTTGGTGAACCAGGCGAGGCAGTCATTTGAGAAACCAACTCTATTTAGTCTGCCAATAAGAATGCAGTGGTTGACAGAGTCGAAAGCATTGGCCAGGTCGATGAAGACGGCTGCACAGTACTGTCTATTATCGATCGCGGTTATAATATCGTTTAGGACCTTGACCAGCTCGGAAACCGGATTGCATAGCGGAGAAGGTACGGTGTGATTCGAAATGGTCGGTGATCTGTTTGTTAACTTGGCTTTCAAAAACTTTCGAAAGGCAGGGCAGGATGGATATAGGTCTGTAACAGTTTGGATCTAGAGTGTCACCCCCTTTGAAAAGGGGGATGACCGCGGCAGCTTTCCAATCTTTGGGGATCTCAGACGTTACGAAAGAGTGATTGAACAGGCTAGTAATAGGGGTTGCGACAATTTCGGCGGCTAATTTTAGAAAGAAAGGGTCCAGATTGTCTAGGCCAGATGATTTGTAGGGGTCCAGATTTTGCAGCTCTTTCAGAACGCCAGCTATCTGAATTTGTGTGAAGGAGAAGCGGGGGGGGGCAAGTTGCAGCGGAGGGTCCAGAGCTGGTGACCGGTGTAGTGGTAGCCAGGTGGAAAGCATGGCCAGCCATAGCAAAATGCTGGCTAAAATTCTCGATTTATCGGTGGTGATAGTGTTTCCTAGCCTCAGTGCAGTGGGCAGCTGGGAGGAGGTGCTCTTATTCTCCATGGACTTTACAGTGTCCCAAAACTTTTTGGAGTTAGTGCTACAGGATGCAAATTTCTGTTTGAAAAAGCTAGCCTTTGCTTTCCTAACTGCTTGTGTATATTGGTTCCTAACTTCCCTGAAAAGTTGCGTATAGTGGGGGCTATTCGATACTAATGCAGTACGCCACAGGATGTTATTGTGCTGGTCAAGGGCAGTCAAGTCTGAGGAGAACCAGGGGCTATATCTGTTCTTAGTTCTGAATTTTTGAATGGGCATGCTTATTTAAGATTGAGAGGAAAGCACTTTTAAAGAACAACCAGGCATCCTCTACTGACGGAATGAGATCGATATCCATCCAGGATACCTGGGCCAGGTCAATTAGGAAGTCCTGCTCGCTAAAGTGTTTTAGGGAGCGTTTGACAGTGATGAGGGGTGGCTGTTTGACCGCGGACCCGTTACGGACCCGTTACGGACGCAGGCAATAACATATGGTCTAAAAACAACAACACTTTTCATCTCCCCTCTGCTGACAGAAAACAGACCATATGCCTCCAAATGCACCCCGCCCCCCCACAACTAAAATCATGTGAATGGTACCTCCTCTGTTGCTCCAGCTCCTCTGGGGAGGGTCCATTTTGCACAGGGCGGGGGAGAGAGGAGTAGCCTGAGGAGAGAAACAGACAAAGCGTGAGTAAGTGAATGTGTATTTTAGCAGTCCTGTTTAAATACTTTAAAAAATGCATCCTTCCCTTCTCCTTCTGACAATAACTAACACCATTAGATAGATTAAAGCTGGAATCCTTAATGGTTAAACTGCCAAGTCCATTTGCGATATTACCACAAAGAAGTTACTGCAAACAACTTTTTTTCTCTGACATCATTGCACACTCTATAGAACAGCAGAATATATAATGCAATTTGTTTTACCACGTTGTGCGACGCTCCGCTTTGTCAAACAAAACAAACACAATAACAACAGCAGTGGGGCGGACAATGGCGCTGTTTCCCCTACTGCAGATTAAATCTTTAAGCAATCCAAACAGATCACTGATTGCAGCAAGAAACAGAGGACAAAAGGAACCCGCACAAAGAGTACCATATTTTGCAAAAAAACAACAACAAAACATATTTTATTCTATATTATAGTTCCTACCCGAGTCAGCGAGTGCACTCAGCACCTCCAGGGCGTGCATCATGCCGTTGGCGAAGAGGGCGGCGTCCTCCTTGCTGCCGAAGTTCAGCCCCCACACCTGCCGGGCGTCCCGCCACTGGTGGAAATTGGGTGTAGCCTGGTTGTACTTCAGCCTCTTGTCGATTGGACAGTTGATCACCACCTGGGAGTGTCAAGCAGGAAGTAAAAAGGCAATGAGAAACTACGAGTGGAATGACAGTATGCGTTCATTGAGAGAATGTGTATGTGGAATATAGCATGTGTAGGTGAGTAAACACTGGAGCGGGAACCTAGATTTTCTTTATAGCTTTTGAATTTCAAAATCGTTCCCCTCACATCCCATTATGTTAATCTATTGCTATTTATTAGATTATACATGTTGGTGCAATACGTGTATAAATCCCCTCTCTGGAATCAGTGATGCGGAGGTCTTGTGCTACTAGTGTGGACCCTCCATTGCCCTTTCCAAAGCAACAGATCTTTTGAAAAAGATGCTACACTAGGGTAAGTTTAACTAAAGTAGCCTCTAAGTTAGCAGTGGTGTAAAGTAACTAAGTAAAACATCATTTGAAGTACTACTTAAGTAGTTTTTTGGGGTATCTGTACTTTACTATTTGTATTTTTTAACTCCACTACATTTCTACAGAAAATATATACTTTTTACTCACATACATTTTCCCTATTAAAGCATCTTTACTTTTACTCAAGTATGACAATGGAGTACTTTTTCCACCACTGTAGGCTAGGCTATGCTAGGGCTCTCTAGTGCTAGTGTGGTTCTTCCACTACCCTAGTGTGAGAGGTAGTCGTTAGTTCGAGAGAAGAGGTAGTGGCACACAGTAAACGGAAGCGAGAAAGAGGAAGACAGCTGACACATAAAGCCCCAACAATACTAATGAGACATGTTCACAGTCTGCAGCAACAGACAAAGGACAAAGCCTAACCCCTAATCTCTGAGTGTGACAGAGCAAGGAAACGCACAGGGGACTGGTTCCCATCAATGGAGGCTCCTCAGAGGAGGAAGGGGAGGACCGTCCTCCTCAGTGAATTTCATAAAAATAAAAATGGTAAAACATTGAAAATGTTAATCTTTTTAGATAAAACTATGCTAAATATATTCACGTCACCAAATAATTGATTAATACACTGTTTTGCAATAAAGGTCTACAGTAGCCTCAGCAGCACTCTGTAGGGTACCACTATGGTGTAGCCAGAGGACAGCTAGCTTCCTTCCTCCTTTTGGTACATTGACTTCAATACAAAACCTAGGAGGCTCATGGTTCTCACCCCCTTCCATAGACTTACACAGTAATTATGACAACTTCCGGAGGACTTCCTCCAACCTATCAGAGCTCTTGCAGCATGGACTGACATGTCCACCCAATCAAAGGATCAGAGAATTAATCTAGTACTGAAAGCATAAGCTACAGCTAGCTAGCTAGCACTGCAGTGCATAAAAGGTGAGTAGTTGACTCAAAGAGAGAGAAAGACAGAACAGTTTAACAAATTAATTTCTTCCAAAATTAAGGAGAAGCAAGAGAGAAAGTAATTTTTTTTCACTTTCAGTTTCACTTAGCTAGCGAATGCAGCTAGCTAGTTTAGCCTAATGAAACACCCTGCTCAAACAGAGGGATGCTATGTTAGCTAGCTGGCTATGACTTTCCAACACAACACTGGAACTCTTCCAAGTCAAGGTAAGCTTTTGGTTTTACTAATTTATTGCCACCGGGGCCCGCCGGTCTAACTGCTTACTGACTATACACTGTAACGTTCCTGCATGATTGTAGCGGGTTTACTAACGCATTAGTTATATTAGCTATGTTGACTAGGATGTTACTTTAGCTAATATGGGGACAACGATGTAGGCTGTGTGTAGTGGTTATGACATGGTTTGGCTTGGAAAGTATTTTTTCGCCTGGTCACATACATCTGATGTGTTGTTCATTGAAGTCCACAAACGAAGGGAAAATGTAAGAGGAGGAGAGCGCAGAGGCGAGAAGGAATACAACGTGGCTGCTATGAAAGTGATCTATGTTTATGCGTGATCAGGGGTGTATTCATTCCGCCGATTCTGTTGAAAAACATTTCTTAAAACGGAAGTAAACGTGTCACTGTCTGTCCATTTGTCATTGTGTGTCATCTAAAAAAATTTATCTCCACCTGTGTGCACCTATGCTGTAAACGTTCATTCATAGGCTCGGTTGTAGCAACCTCATGATGGGTATAGGGAAAATCCGAGTATCATGTAGTAGCCTAAATTTATCGATGTTACATTGAACTGGGAGAATGGAATATGAATGACAGTCATCCAACATGCTGTAATAGAAATAAGGCCATGCTCATGAAAAAAAAGAATAAACGGCACTGACCGCCACTGGTTCCTATATGGTGCACCCACGTACTAACACTCACAAGATTTACAGATCAGTCAGTCTAAAATTGTTCAAGCCAGTCAGTTTGACTGTACAAAGAGGTCCCAGAAGGAAAATGTTTACCATCCAAGCCCAGCATTGTTCTCTACACAGTATACAGTGCCTTGGGAAAGTATTCAGACCCCTTGACATTTTCTACATTGTTACATTACAGCCTTATTCTAAAATTGATTAAAATGTTTTTTCCCCCTCATCAATCTAAACACAATACCCCATAATGATAAAGCAAAAACAGGTTTGTAGAAATGTTTGCTAATTTATTTAAAAATATATATATAAATATCACATTTACATAAGAATTCAGACCCTTTACTCAGTACTTTGTTGAAGCACCTTTGGCAGTGATTACAGCATTGAGTCTTCTTTGGTATGACGCTTCAAGCTTGGCACACCTGTATTTGGGGAGTTTCTCCCATTCTTCTCTGCAGATCCTCTCAAGCTCCATCAGGTTGGATGGGGAGCGTCGCTGCACAGCTATTTACAGGTCTCTCCAGAGATGTTCGATCGGGTTCAAGTCCGGGCTCTGGCTGGGCCACTCAAGGACATTCAGAGACTTGTCCCGAAGCCACCCCTGCATTGTCTTGTTTTTGTGCTTAGGGTCGTTGTCCTGTTGGAAGGTGAACCTTCATCCTAGTCTGAGGTCCTAAACTCTCTGGAGCAGGGTTTCATCAAGGATCTCTGTACTTTGCTCCGTTCATCTTTGCCTCGATCCTGACTAGTCTCCCAGTACCTTCCCATGAAAAACATCCCCACAGCATGATGCTGCCACCACCATGCTTCACCGTAGGGATGGTGCCAGGTTTCCTCAAGACGTGAAGCTTGGCATTCAGGCCAAAGAGTTCAATCTTGGTTCCCTCAGACCAGAGAATCTTGTTTCTCATGGTCAGAGTCTTTAGGTGCCTTTTGGCAAACTCCAAGCGGGCTGTCATGTGCCTTTTACAGAGGAATGGCTTCTGTCAGGCCACTCTACCAAAAAGGCCTGATTGGTGGAGTGCTGCAGAGATGGTTGTCCTTCTGGAAGGTTCTCCCATCTCCACAGAGGAACTCTAGAGCTCTGTCAGAGTGACCATCAGGTTCTTGGTCACCTCCCTGACCTAGGCCCTTCTCCCCCGATTGCTCATGTTGACCGGGCGGCCAGCTCTAGGAAGAGTCTTGGTGGTTCTAAACTTCTTCCATTTAAGAATGATGGAGGCCACTGTGTTCTTGGGGACCTTTAATGCTGCAGATATTTTTTGGTACCTTTCCCCAGATCTGTGCCTCGACACAATCCTGTCTCGAAGCTCTACGGACAATTCCTTCGACCTCATGGCTTGGTTTTTGCTCTGACATGCACTGTCAACTGTGGGACCTTATATAGACAGGTGTGTGCCTTTCCAAATCATGTCCAATCAATTGAATTTACCACAGGTGGACTCCAAGTTGTAGAAACATCTCAAGGATGATCAATGGAAACAGGATGCATCTGAGCTCAATTTCGAGTCTCATAGCAAAGTGTCTGAATACTTATGTAAATAAGTTATTTCTGTTTTTATAAATGAGCTAAAAGAAAATCTAAAAACCTGTTTTCGCTTTGTCATTATGGGGTATTGTGTGTAGATTGCTGAGCATTTGTATTTATTTATTCTAAAATTGATTAAGGTTGTAATTTAATTTTTCTTGGATAAAGTCCAGGAGTCTGAATACTTTACGAATGCACTATATATACACACACACACACACACACACACACACACACACACACACACACACACACACACACATATAAACTCAGCAAAAAAAGAAACTTCCTCTCACTGTCAACTGCGTTTATTTTCAGCAAACTTAACATGTGTAAATATTTGTATGAACATAAGATTCAACAACAGACATAAACTGAACAAGTTCCACAGACATGTGACTAACAGAAATTGAATAATGTGTCCCTTAACAAAGGGGGGGGGGGTCAAAATCAAAAGTAACAGTCAGTAATCACAAGTAACAGTCAGTATCTGGTGTGGCCACCAGCTGCATTAAGTACTGCAGTGCATCTCCTCCTCATGGACTGCACCAGATTTTCCAGTTCTTGCTGTGAGATGTTACCCCACTCTTCCACCAAGGCACCTGCAAGTTCCCGGACATTTCTGGGTGGAATGGCCCTAGCCCTCACCCTCCGATCCAACAGGTCCCAGACGTGCTCAATGGGATTGAGATCCGGGCTCTTCGCTGGCCATGGCAGAACACTGACATTCCTGTCTTGCAGGAAATCACGCACAGAACGAGCAGTATGGCTGGTGGCATTATCATGCTGGAGGGTCATATCAGGATGAGCCTACAGGAAGGGTACCACATGAGGGAGGAGGATGTCTCCCCTGTAACGCACAGTGTTGCGATTGCCTGCAATGACAACAAGCTCAGAACGATGATGCTGTGACATACCGCCCCAGACCATGACGGACCCTCCTCCTCCAAATCGATCCCGCTCCAGAGTACAGGCTCATTCCTTCGACGATAAACGCGAATCCGACCATCACCCCTGGTGAGACAAAACCGCGACTCGTCAGTGAAGAGCACTTTTTGCAAGTCCTGTCTGGTCCAGCGACGGTGGGTTTGTGCCCATAGGCGACGTTGTTACCGGTGATGTCTGGTGAGGACCTGCCTTACAACAGGCCTACAAGCCCTCAGTCCAGCCTCTCTCAGCCTATTGCGGACTGTCTGAGCACTGATGGAGGGATTGTGCGTTCCTGGTGTAACTCAGGCAGTTGTTGTTTCCATCCTGTACCTGTCCCGCAAGTGTGATGTTCGGATGTACCGATCCTGTGCAGGTGTTGTTACACGTGGTCTGCCACTGCGAGGACGATCAGCTGTCCATCCTGTCTCCCTGTAGCGCTGTCTTAGGCATCTCACAAAACAGACATTGCAATTTATTGCCCTGGCCACATCTGCAGTCCTCATGGCTCCTTGTAGCATGCCTAAGGCACGTTCACGCAGATGAGCAGGAACCCTGGGCATCTTTCTTTTGGTGTTTTCCAGAGTCAGTAGAAAGGCCTCTTTAGTGTCCTAAGTTTTCATAACTGTGACCTTAATTGCCTACCGTCTGTAAGCTGTTAGTGTCTTAACGACCGTTCCACAGGTGCATGATCATTAATTGTTTATGGTTCATTGAACAAGCATTGGAAACAGTGTTTAAACCCTTTACAATGAAGATCTGTGAAGATTTTTGGATTTTTACAAATTATCTTCCAGTCAAAAGTTAGGACACACCTACTCATTCAAGGGTTTTTCTTTATTTTATTTTTTACAATTTTCTACATTGTAGAATAATACTGAAGACATCAAACTATGAAATAACACATATCGAATCATGTAGTAACCAAGTGTTAAACAAATGAAAATATATTTGAGATTTGAGATTCTTCAAAGTAGCCACCCTTTGCTTTGATGACTGTTTTGCACACTCTTGGCATTCTCTCAACCAGCTTCATGAGGTAGCATTTCATTTAACAGGTATGCCTTGTTTAAAGTTAATTTGTGGAATTTCTTTCCTTCTTAATGCGTTTGAGCCAATCAGTTGTGTTGTGACAAGGTAGGGGTGGTATACAGAAGATAGCCATATTTGGTAAAAGACCAAGTCCATATTATGGCAAGAACAGCTCAAATAAGCAAAGAGACTTTACTTTAAGACATGAAGGTCAGTCAATCTGGAAAATGTCAAGAACTTTGAAAGTTTTCAAGTGCAGTCACAAAAACCATCAAGCGCTATGATGAAACTGGCTCTCATGAGGACCGCCACAGGAATGGAAGACCCACAGTTACCTCTGCTGCAGTTCATTAGAGTTACCAGCCTCAGAAATTGGAGCCCAAATAAATGCTTCACAGAGTTCAAGTAACAGACACATCTCAACATCAACTGTTCAGAGGAGACTGTGTGAATCAGGCCTTCATGGTCGACTGTTGCAAAGAAACCACTACTAAAGGACACCAATAATAAGAAGAGCAATGGACATTAGACCGGTGGAAATTTGTCCTTTGGTCTGGAGTCTAAATTGGAGATTTTTGGATCCAACCGCCGTGTCTTTGTGAGATGCGGTGTGGGTGAACGGATGATCTCCGCATGTGTATTTCCCACCGTAAAGCATGGAGGAGGTGGTGTTACGGTGTGGGGTTGCTTTGCTGGTGACACTGTCTGTGATTTATTTAGAATTTTAACCAGCATGGCTACCACAGCATTCTGCAGCGATTCGCCATCCCATCTGGTTTGGACAGGACAATGACCCAACACACCTCCAGGCTGTGTAAGGGCTATTTTACCAAGAAGGCGAGTGATGGAGTGCTGCATCAGATCACCAAATTGAGATGGTTTGGGATGAGTCGGACCGCAGAGTGAAGGAAAATCAGCCAACAAGTGCTCAGCATATGTGGGAACTCCTTCAAGACTGTTGGAAAAGCATTCCAGGTGAAGCTGGTTGATAGAATGCCAAGAGTGTGCAAAGCTGTCATCAAGGCAAAGGGTGGGTATTTGAAGAATCTCAAACACTTTTTTGGCTACTACATGATTCCATATGTGTTATTTCATAGTTTTGATGTCTTCACTATTATTCTACAATGTAGAATAGTAAAAATAAAGAAAAACTCTTCTTGAATTAGTAGGTGTTCTAAAAGTTTTGACCGGTAGTGTGTATATATGCACATTTCGGACCCAGGTCCACCCATTGCCTTTCTAGGGAGTTTTTCCTAGCCACCGTGCTTCTACACCTGCATTACTAGCTGTTTGGGGTTTTAGGCTGGGTTTCTGTACAGCACTTCGAGATATTAGCTGATGTAAGAAGGGCTATATAAAATAAAATTGATTGATTGATTGGGGAGCCAGGCCCAGCCAATCAGAATGAGTTTTTCCCCACAAAAGGGCTTTATTACAGAGATAAATACTCCCCCCTCCCCCTCTTCAAACGATCTCGCAGGTGAAGAAGCCGGATGTGGAGGTCCTGGGCTGACGTGGTTACACGTGGTGTGCGATTGTGAGGCTGGTTGGATGTACTGCCAAATTCTCTAAAACAACATTGGAGGCGGCTTATGGAAGATAAATTAACATTCAATTCTCTGGCAACTGCTCTTGTGGACATTCCTGCAGTCAGCATGCCAATTGCATGCTCCCTCAAAACTTGAGACATCTGTGGCATTGTGTGGTGTGACAAAACTGCACATTTTAGAGTGGCCTTTTCTTGTCCCCAGCACAAGATGCACCTGTGTAATGATCATGCTGTTTAATCAGCTTCTTGATATGACACACCTGTCAGGTGGATGGATTATCTTGGCAAAGAAGAAATGCTCACTAACAGGGATGTAAACAAATTTCTGCACAACATTTTAGAGAAATGAGCTTTTTGTGCGTATGGAAAATTTCTAGGATACTTTATTTCAGCTAATGAAAAATGGGACCAACAATAAATGTTGCGTTAATATTTTGCTCCAACGATCATCAGACAGTGCGTCTTAGGAATGTATTTGTTCATGGTGTGTGTATACACTAGTTACCTGCTGGTCAGCCTGCATCTTGCGTCCCACTACTCGGAATGTGTTGGCTACGGGGTTGTGGTAGATCTGGACCCTGCTGAAGGCCTGGCCCCCCTCGCCCGCCGGCACCCAGCGCTTGTTACCATCATCATACAGCATGACCGTGGCCCGCGCCTGGCAGATACTGGACTCACTGAGAGAGAGAGGACAGAGAAAGAGAGAAACAGGGAGAGTGAGGAGGGCAAGAAAAGAGGGTCCGGGAAGTTCAAAAGAGATGGGGTAGTGGGAAAAGGAGAAGAGAGTTAATTCAGTCATCTCAAACAGGGAATTAACACTAACAAGATAACCCATTACTCCATGAGGAGTGCAGTGCACAACTGTGGACATTGCTTTGTTGTTCATGTTGCTTTATGGCACAAGAGCAAGATCAGGAACTTCAAGATGGCTAAAAGAGATATTCATTACACAAAGCAATGTTTTAAAATAGAGATATGTTCACGTCTGCCTTTTTAGCACGCTATTCTACGAAAAGAGTGACCAGCAGTAACATGTCACCCAAATAACTGAAGTTGAGTGAAATTAGTAGCGGGATGAGCTCAAGTCAAATGCGACACCACTAGGGCTGTTACAGTGACCGTATTACCGGCACAGACAGTCACGAGTCATGGCCGCAGTCAAATTCCACGTGACCATTGAGTCACTGTAACTAGGCTTCTCCAAAACTGCTGGTCATTAGTATTGACCAAACTTGCTAACGGCCAGTCGCTAATGGCCTGGTACTCAGTGCTCTACTGTCCTTCTAATCACTCTGACATCAATTCAAATGTAATCGAAAATCAAAACAAACACTTCATGAGAGCCCTGGCATTCAGCATTTGAGCGGAATAGGACCACCTGTTGCGCAGCTAGAGCCAGCTCCTCATAGCTGGTTGCCCATGTTGCACAACATTTATAGTCCTCTATAGACTATTTAGAAAACGACAGAGGCATCATATGAGATTGCTTAGATACTTGTGAGAAACAAGAAGGCCTTCACAGATGCGGAGATTGTCAAATCATGTATTTTGGCCTCAGACGAAATATTGTATGCAGATTTCACAAACAAGGAAGCTATTTCAAAGCAAATTAAGGGACTGCAACTCTTAGACTTGACCATAACAAGACGCATAGAAGACATCGGCGAGGACATTGGTAAGCAACTGATTACTGACATATCCGTGGCGCCGTGTTTTAGTATTACGCTTAACGAAAGCACTAATGTAAGTGACATTGCCCAATTATGTGTTTGGGTCCGCTTCCCTCAAAACGAGTCGTTCAGAGAGGAACTTTTATGTTTACTGCCCCTTCAGGGACAAACATGAGGAGAGGATATTCTGAAAGCCCTTGTTACATTTTTTGCTGATAATAATATTGACTGGTCAAATCTGGCATATGTGTGCACTGACGGCGCCTCAAAGATGCGAGGGAAGGAGAAGGGACTCATAGGCCTGATGAGAAAGACAGGATATTCCCGAATTTGTTACGTTTCATTGTATCATTCATCAGGAAGCACTTGTGGCTAAACTCAAAGACTGTGACTTACAGAATGTGATGCAGCATGTCGTGCACGTGGTGAACATTATTATTGCGAGGGTACTGAATCACAGGCAATTCCGCAAGTAGTTGGAGGAATACCAGACAGAATACGGCGACTTGATATTTCACAATGAGGTGAGATGGCTGTCTTGTGGCAGAGTTTTGGAAATATTTCTCTCTCTCCTCCCTCAAATCTGTGAATTTGTTGCAAGCAAGGGGAGAGTGGAGCCAGAGCTGGATGATCCACAGTGGATATTAAAGCTGGCTTTTTTAACTGACATCACCTGTCACCTGAACACAGTGAATCTCCAGCTCCAAGGGAACGCTAAAACGTCGGGCAAAACGCTGCGTGTGCTCACAGCATTTCAAAATAAAATTCATACCTGACAGACAGTTTGTTCATTTCCCAAAACTCAGAGCAGTCCCCACATCCAACCCAGACATACTGCAACATTTTATCTATGATGCATTTGTGCGTGTGTTGGTAGAGTTGGAGTTTGAGTCAAGATTCAAGGATATCATGGAGTACAAGGAGTTTTTCAACTTAATTGAGAACCCCTTTCATCTCTGACCCCAGTCAACACAGCCCTCTGTCCTGACCGTGCTGGATTAGAGAGTGAGATAGCCAAGCTGCAGGCAAATGACACATTGCAAGGTGAACTAAGATCATGTTACCCATTTCTGGAGCCTTGTGTCAGACACAGAGTATCCACTTCTGAAGCAGTGTGTGCAAAAGGTGACATTTTTTGTCAGCACTTATTCATGTGAAGCAACATTTTCAACAATGAACATTGTGAAACAAAAACAGAGAAACAGACTGACCAATGCACACCTGGATTGCCTCACAAGGATAGCAACAACAGACTATACATTTAGAATGAATTCAGTCAAGGAGCAGAAGGGACATTTTCGCTCATCCAACTACTGAGGTAACCCTTAATATGGGTCTTATACATGCGATGTAGCCTATTTGATGTGTGGATGTATATATTTGTGATGTGCTGTACATCAAATCAATTGCATGTGCTCTATTGCTCTGAATTTGCTCTCAATTGATAATATTGGAAGAAAAAGTACAACAAATTAAAGATCTGTGCGGCCCTCTGAATGATTGTCTCAACCCAAAGTGGCCCCCTTACAAAAAAGTGAGTAACACTGGCCTACAGAGTGAAACTTGTTCTTATAAGCCCAGTCATTGCACAATCGCGTGTGAAAACAGAGTTTTGACTAGCCACTATTTAAAAGAGGATCCCAGCTTTTTAGTGCTGCTATATTTATTATTTGAGTGCACAAAAAAATTATTCCACACATACTGTTTATTAGTAGGCTATATGTAAAGACCAGATTAAAGTGAGAAATATTATCAAATGCTTGTCAAATTGTGAATGAGACAGCCTGCGCAAGAAACAGAGCAGAGCACATGCCTTTCATGCAACTTTTTTCAAATCATCATTAGAGTTGCATCATGCAGCCTTAGAACCCTAAGGTTTGTATCACAACTAAAGTTGCAACTAAATTAAGCATATAGGAGGACCTCTCAAATTATCACTTTGTTAACAGCTCAACACTGTATGTGAGGACTCCCTTGGAAATCGTTTGGGAAAAATATCCAAACACTGCATTCCACAGTAAGAACCTCATACCAACGGTCAAGCATGGTGGTGGTTGTGTGATAGTTTGGGGATGCTTTGCTGCCTTGGGACCTGAACAACTTGCTTTAATAGAAGGAACCATTAATTCTGCTCTGTATCCGAGAATTCTACAGGAGAATGTCAGGCCATCCGTCTGTGAGCTGAAGCTGAAGCGCAGCTGGGTCATGCAGCAAGACAATGATCCAAAACACACAATCAAGTCTACATGAAAATGGCTAAAAGGCAACAAATTTGAAGTTTTGGAATGGCTTAGTCAAAGTCCAGACCCAATCCTAATTGAGATGTTGTGGCAGGACTTCAAATGAGAAGTTCATGCTTGAAAACTCACAAATGTCACTGAGTTAAAGCAGTTCTGCATGCAAGAGTGGGCCAAAGTTCCTCCACAGCGATGTGAGAGACTGATCAACAACTACAGGAAGCATTTGGTTGCAGTCATTGCAGCTAAAGGTGGCACAACCAGTTATTGAGTGTATGTGGGCAATTACTTTTTCAAATACAAAAAAGTATCATTATTTTTTATTTTTTTGTAAACTCAGGTTCCCTTTATCTAATATTAGGTTTTGGTTGAAGATCTGGTAACATTCAGTATCAAAAATATGCAAAAATAGAGAATAATCCGAAAGGGGGCAAATACTTTTTCACGGCAATGCATTCAGAAAGTATTCAGACCCCTTGACCCCCCCCCCCCCCGATGCTGCCACCACCATGCTTCACCGTAGGGATGGTGCCAGGTTTCCTCCAGACGTGACGCTTGGCATTCAGGCCAAAGAATTCAATCTTGGTTTCATCAGACCAGAGAATCTTTCTCTTTCTCATGGCCTGAGTGTCTTTAGGTACCTTTTGGCAAACTCCAAGCAGGCTGTCATGAGCCTTTTTGTCACGGTTTCTGCCGAGGCTGCTCCTTCTCCTTGTTCGGGCAGGCTTCGGCGGTCGTCGTCCCCGGAGTACTAGCTGCCACCGTTCGTGTTTTCTGTGTTCGTTTGGTTTGGTCTGTTTTGTACACCTGTTTCTCATTTTGTCTTGATTATGTGTCCTTTAAGTTCTCGTTGTTTCTGTCTTGTGGTTGTGTGTAGTTGTTCGTTGTCAGCAGGTGTTTCTACGTCTAGTTTGTGCTAATTTTTCTAGTGAGAGTCCGCACTATTGTGCGTGTTTGTAATTACGCTTAGTGCGTTATTTTTCTTGTGCCTCCGGCTCTGTTTATAGCCGTTCATTCTGTGGACTCTATTAAAGTATTTTGGACTACTTCTGCATCCTGCATCTGATTCCCACACCACCCCTACGCCAGCTCTGACACTTTTACTGAGGAGTGGCTTCCGTCTGGCCACTCTAACATAAAGGCCTGATTGGCGGAGTGCTGCAGAGATGGATGTCCTTCTGGAAGGTTCTCCCATCTCCACAGAGGAACTCTGGAGCTCTGTCAGAGTGACCATCGGGTTCTTGGTCACCTCCCTGACCAAGGCCCTTCTCCCCCGATTGCTCAGTTTGGCCGGGCGGCCAGCTCTAGGAAGAGTCTTGGTGGTTCCAAACTTCTTCCATTTAAGAATGATGGAGGGCACTGTGTTCTTGGGGACCTTCAATGCTGCAGAATTTTTTTGGTATTCTTCCCCAGATCTGTGCCTCGACACAATCCTGTCTCGGAGCTCTACGGACAATTCCTTCGACCTCATGGCTTGGTTTTTGCTCTGACATGCACTGTCAACTGTGGGACCTTACATAGACAGGTGTGTGCTTTTCCAAATCATGTCCAATCAATTGAATTTACCACAGTTGGACTCCAATCAATTTGTAGAAACATCTCAAGGATGATCAATGGAAACAGGATGCACCTGAGCTCAATTCCGAGTCTCATAGCAAAGGGTCTGAATACTTATGTAAATACGGTATTTCTGTGTTTTATTTTTAATACATTTGCTAAAAGAATCTAAAAACCTGTTTTTGCTTTGTCATTATGGGGTATTGTGTGTAG